ACCACTCCTCCCTTGCTCGTTTTGTTCCTTTCTCCCACTCAGTATCCATTCCTCCTGCCACAACTCAGCCCCAGAAACAAGGGGGAAGTAGCTCTGAACTTGCAGAAAGGCGTCTTTCCCTTTCCCCTTTCCGCTCTGCCTCTCTGATCCTTGCTTTTATTGCGCGACTGATGATTTTAATTGCCTGTTAGCTCGCCGTACTCAGCAGATACACATGATAAATGGTCCAGGTGACTGTTGTAGGCACCATCTGGATGGGGCAAACTGTCATACTAGAGGCAGCCGCCACAGCAGGGGAGGTTGCGGGTGTACCGAGGGAGAACAAGAAACTGTCCCAGTTTAGATCCAGTTGACAGCCATTTAGTGTCGTAGGGGTCACATCCATTTTCCCTGAGATCTCAGGCAGCAACAATATGTCTCTTGAAAAAGAAGCGCATGACGCTACAGCAGGGAGAGAGATTGCTGTAGACAATTGGCCGGCAAATTTGGCACACTCTGTATGGAGATTATAGAGATGGAGATGGAGGAAGGGATGTGCAGCTATTGTAGGTGCACAGTGAATGGATGCACAAGTTGTTATGTGGCGTCCCCCATGCGCCATGCAATGACCAGTATCATCAAGTAGGAATGCCAAGCTCTCAAATGTTCACTGTTCACCAAGTCTTTGTCCAAAGGAGGTTCTTTCATTTCACTGTTTGGACGGGACAATAAACAGAGTCAAGAGTAGTTCTGAAGTGGACAGTGAGGGAGGTTTCTTTAGCGAAAGTGAAGTAATACAGTGTACTGAATTACTGAAAGTAACGGTGTCATCCAGCCAGAGAGACAGAGGGTGTATCATCTTCTAACATTGACCAATAGAGTGACAGCTGACGCTAAGACCGGGTCCAACGCAGGTTGACTGCGCAGATATTTACAGTACATCCGGTGTATTAAATGGATGAATGAATGTGTGAGTTGGGCTTTAAGAGACAATTGTTCCAAATTTTTCAGGAGCCGGCCTGTCCGGAATAATCTTTGTTTGTAAAGGCGCGAAGGTGTGATTCTCAGCTGGATAGCGCAGAGGTTATTTCTGACCAGGCAACAATTCCCACCATGCTATTGAGTTGAGGAGACAGGTCACCTCTTTCCTCTCCAAAGAGACTCGGGCCCAGCAGTTTGGTGTGGAATGTGCGTTCGTAGCAGATGACCCATGAGTGCAATGGGAAGGACCTGCAGCATTAATGAAGGGTAATGGCAACAGTCCCCTGAGCAGACCCCGTGTCAATTCAGCTTTGTCTTGTCACAACGATGGTCACACACACACACACAGACACACACACAGACATTCAGACACAACGTTTCTCCAACGGAGGACTTTGGAGAGAATTTCAATTCATTCATTCAATCCCTTAGTTCCCATAAGCGACTATGAAGTGCGTCTGAAGCACATCCTGCCAATGAAAGGCGAATTGAATTTAAATATTTTGAACCCAGCCAAATTCCGGAGATTTTAGTTTTCGTACTGCGACTGTGCACGTGCACAAATTTGTCCCAGCAAATATTTTCCATTTTATTCACCCATGAAAATGTGCGGCGGAGGAGCCGTCCTGTGGCCGCCGCGAGACAAACAAAACCAGAAGAGACAAAAGTATCAATGTGACTGTTGTAAACAAGAGCACCTCTGTTGTGTATGCGTGTCCCCGTCTCGCCCCCTCTCTCTATCAGCGGTGAATCAGTGGAGTGAAAGGACATCGTTTAAGCTCTCGCACAGCATCAATACTGGCTCTATTGATTTTTTCAAACAGTTAATGGAAGCCTTTAGGGCAGCAAAGCTAATTAAAATCATATGCAGGTCAAGCTCATTTAAAGACTCCCCATTAGTTTATGTTTAGCTTAACCACGCTTGACTGGAAAATCCATCCATTGGGTATCGTAATTGACTAGTGTGTTGTAATGGCTTTCCAGTGCTCCCGAATTCCTCTGGCACATTCCGTGCCGCAGCTTTTATAACCCACGTAGAGAATCATTAAAGACGCGCGTGTGTGTTCTGTGTCCTCAAAGTATCTCGCCGATGCCTTGAAACAGTGATGTGTTTCATACCCGCAGCCTTTGGAAATATACGACCGTCTTGTTTCGTCCGCGTCTCGTCATTGGGACATGATGTCTGTGCTTCAAAGTCGAGTCTTCAATGATTGGTTGAACAAAAAAAAGAGTAGTACTAGTGTTATATTTAATTGTTAAACAGCCATAATTGAATATGGATGACTCTATATGACCTACTGTATATAAGTAGCAGACTATCAGTGACTAAATGATTTATTTATCTAGTACACTTAATGTGGACCATCTTCTGGCAATATCTGAAATATCAGCACTGAATGAAAGCTTCACTTGTTTTTTTGTGCAATACGCATGAACTTGGGGAGGTAAGCAACATGGACTCTGGTCGAATAAATTTTCTTTTTTTTAAATGTTTTTGAGAATTAAAATAACTGCGGTTTGTGATTCATTGTATTTTCGAGTGCTGCGTCATTATGAGGCGCAGCTGCCACATTTCTGTCGGCTATTCTGCCAGCCCAGAAACGTATGAAAACGTTGTCATCTCTCCACTTTTTTTTGCGTCTTCACACGTCTTGTGTGAATTTGCGTCCTGCAAACTGCGTTCAGTAGGAGGCTGATTTCATCTGTGTGTCAGAAGGAGATTGTGATTAGGTAGGTGTTTATTGCTCCCTGTCAGGGGCCAATATGCTAACAGCAGATGCCAACCGCCTCGCTGTGTCTTTGTGCGACGCGTCCACCGCGTGTCTCTAGCCTGGAACCACACCAGCCAGCCGCCACTGTTGCACCCAGCTGGCAGCGCGGGAAACCCTCGCGACGGCGAGTTCTTCATTAGACAGAGTTGGATCAGATAAAAAAATCCCCTTGAGATTAATTTTCTTCGGCGCTGAGGTGGGATGGAGCAGAGGATACGAGGAGGCTCTGAGTGAAATAGCCAAATGAGAGGTTATATATAAGAATAACGCCCAATAAGATGTCACAAGCGTTTGCTTATTGTGTTTTATTTTATTTTTCTATTCTGGCTGCTTCGTACTGAATCATAAAAGCATGCTTATCATGCTAAAATTATTCAGTCACGCATGTTATTATGTTGTTCTATTTTTGCAAAGAAATTCAGACAACCTACCAAATGTTAAACGGCTATTAGGTCGGTGGTTATTAAGGAGGAGCCGAGCATTAAAATGCATTCAATGCCAAGCTTGATGCTGCACCGTACGGTAAAGCTTACCCCTCCAGCCCCGTTTGATCCGTCACTATGATTTGATCCAGTTAAAATGTTTTAAATATCTGTGAATTCTTTAATAGAAGTCCTTTTTTTAAATACAATTTTACACACACAACCGTCCACATTTTACTTACATACTGTACGTTTACAATCCCACTAAGATTATTGAAATCATACTAGTGTTTGCACCACAGTTCGGTGTGGAAAAACATAACTATGTCCTCATATCGTCCAAGTTGTATCCACAGGATTTGAACATTTCTGCTCTTCATCTACCAGTTGTATCCTAATAACCGCGTCCCAACACATAGAGTTCCTGCTCTCCTACAGGCCAATAGTTAATGTTCAATTCACATCAGATCAGTAGCAGCAGGTGTCTCGCTAACAACTCATCCCACTACAACCTCTAACACCAAACCCCATCTCTGATGTTTCTCCTCACACCGAGCCTCGAGCAAAGTGAGGATTGTTTTCCTCGGGCACAGACAAAAAAAGCATCCGTGGCATAATTTTACTTTCAATACCACACGTGAAAAGCAGGCCCACATTTTCTACCCACATAAAGAGTCGGCTCTGTAACATTAGATGATATACAATAATGGCTCTCGGGGCAGCTTCATCTGCTGACCTCTCTTGGGAGCTCCGAGCAATTATTCACCCAGCAGAAATTCATAAAGCAAAGCTAATGCAATTCGGTCCAAGAAAAAGAAGATGTGGCTTCCTCAACTTATTTTCAATTAAAATAAGATGATATAATGGGAAAAGGGAATAGCTACGTAGAGGTTTCTTTATTCTCGCTGTGACTCAAATGGACTCTAGCCTATTTTGAAAAACAATAATCGAGCGTCAGCACGGATGTGTGATAATTACTGCTGACGAGGTGGACAGCTGTAAATATACTCTTATTATACACTGTGTGCATGTGCATTTTTTCGTTGTGCTATACAACCTCATTGTATACGGCTTCATCGTAGAAAAACACCTCACTCTGTATTCAGTGCACATTCTTATCAAAGTGACAGCTTGCTGAGGTCAACTGGTTCTCCTCAGATCAACAAGACTCAGAGTTTGCAGCCAACGGCAGCAGCTGTGTGAGGCTGTACCTTTGGGCTCGAGCAGCAACTGTGAACGCACTTACAATAATAACCATAGCGTGCGGCGTCATTTTACTGCAGCTCAGCATTTGATGGTAATCCCTCCTAATTTACAGAAATTACAATGTAATTAGTTCACAGGTATTTGCTCCTGAACCAAAGTGCTGGACACGAAAGCAACGGCACGCTTCATTAACTCCATCCATTAAAGCGTAGTTTTAATGCGATCCATCATCGGTGGAGCACGGCGGCGACCTGCAACACAAACAACACAGACCATAATAATAAACAACATTATTTTAACGTTCAATTGTTTGAATATTTCTCCTTGTACGTCTTGACCTTGTTTGCTAAATCATTAGAGCGCATGTAGCCACGTAACCGCAACACGACGCTGAAGACACAGAGACATATCGAGCATACGCTCATTACATCGGGGTTCCTCGTACGTGGTTCAGCTAAGTCGATCAAATGTCCGATTATCCAGTTCAAATTACCGAGATGATTGACATCAGCCTACCTCGGTTCCTCGAAGGCGGATCGGCGATCAAACCGTCGCGTTAGTTTGAACCAGATGTCCATCATCAAGATAATCAGCCAGATAATCAGCAAAGCCAAATCTGTGAATTGTGTTTTCACATCAGGTCCGTCTCTGGTTGGGACTCTGAAGAAGGACTGGGCTTCTCCAAACAGCATCGCTCTCTCTTGGCAGCAACCGGAACAAACAACACAGCTCATCCTGGACTACGAGATCAAATATTATGAAAAGGTACACTGCGCTGTCCAGAGAGTTATTTGCAACAATTTATTGAAGCAGATAGCTTACTTGAATATTTTCTCAAAGGAAGAAATACATATCATGCAATTGTGTAGTTTGTCACGAGTCCTCCTTTTTATGATTTTGTTGTTTAAAAGGAAATCCACAGATATTGAATGGCACTTAACATCCGCGAAAATCTGTTTAGTCTATTGATTAAAGTGTCACTTAAAACACAGATGACCTGGGATTCTATCCTGCTAAAAAAGCTTATCCACAATGTTTTCCAGATAAAGGGAAGTAGCGTGTGAAAAGTTGAGCTTCTCAACACAGCATCAGCGGAGACGGTGCTTGCATCCAAATCGGCTCAGTAAGAGCTCAAGTTGTGAAGGTTTAGATATATAACCATGTAGATATATGGTTTCAATTATTGGTCGGCAATTAAACTCTTGTTATCTTCCTTTTTTTTAGGCATAAACGCTAATATTTAAATGGTTTTGTTGAAATATTGGAGCCTCTAATTAGTGCACTGTGAGACTGAACCGCAGTGAATAGAAAACCGACCCACGGTATCAATCTGACTGCGAAACAGACTTCAACACCTCCCACTCTCTCCTGCAGGAACACGAGCAGTTGAGCTACTCGTCCACACGCACCAAAGCTCCCAGTGTGATCATCTCAGGCCTAAAACCAGCCACCTGGTACGTCTTCAGCGTACGGAGCCGCACGCCAGCCGGATACAGCTCCTACACGCCGAAATATGAGTACAAAACCGCCGGAGACTGTAAGTACATGAGACCGTCCGCAGCACTTGTCACCGGGGAGGCATGCCTTTGTGTGAATGTGTGTACTACTTGTGCAAATACTCCAAAGCATGTGGCTGCCCCCCCTACCCCAGCCGACAGTTATTGAATCGGGACGAGGCTGAGGTTAGATCGTAGTTAGCATTCGGCTTGAGTGATCTTATCTTATCGCACGGAACTTTTCGGGGGGTCGAAGCCTGTGAAAAATAACAACTTATGTTGAGATTCTGTAGCAGGAGGCTGCAAGCATCAGTTCAGGGTCACATGAAGTTCACGTCCCGTAGCCTGAAGCGGCGCTGAGGGCAACCCGCTCCATGAGCACAACAACACCAAATAAGCCTGGAGATGAGCCCACCAATAAGGGCGCCCATTGGAGGGTTCGAGACACTGGAAAATGTCAACAGGAATGAAATAAACACATAGAGTCCCCCTTGGTGTGTATGACAGGACGTTATAATTGGAAAGTCACGTATTTCATGACCTTTTAATGACGCAGGGTTAGAAATGCTCCATTTTAGTAGTTAATGAAAACTACAAAGATCTGTATGTCTTATTGATGATAATGATGCTTGTCTGGTTATGTTAAACAGTGAGTGCATTGCAGCTGGAACATTTGGCATCCCCTTCATACAGGCTGCATGCTCACACTCTAAACCCCGAAAGGACAAAATATCAAACGCAGAATTTAACACAATCAACACGGGAGTCCGACATTACAGCCTCTGCGTTCGCTGTGCATTTTGAAGTTTGCCGCGTGCATCCGTGCAGTGGCTTTTACGGCGAGTCGCCTCGCGAAATACAAAGGTCCAGCTGCCCTTTTATGTCGGTTCAGGTATTGTTGAGGGGTGATTTGGCTCGGTGGCTCTCTCCCTTCCAAAGCTGCCGAGCTCTGCTTTATCTGTGGATCAGACGGTGCTCGGCCAAGCCTTTGTAAAGCCGGGCCTTTAATCTGACAGAGAAAGCACTTCCACACTCCGTCCTCGTCCGTCCACTCGCCGGTCGCTGCCGTTCCGTCTGTGTATTCCGCCTCTCTCGTTCTCTGTTCTGTCTTTACTTCTCTTCGGTCATCCCTTTTCCTCATACGTCACCTTCCTTTCTTCATCCTCTCTCTCTCTCTCTACACACACACACCTCATTACAGCAGCATCAGCCCAACACATCTGCTTAGTTAGCGATGTGAAGAGTGTGTGAAGACGACGTCTGGGTGAATTGTCTCTTGTGATCAAGCCACCGACACTTTTACTCGTCTTTTGGGTGGTCTTTAATTACCTCCAGCCACACACACACACACACACACCCTTACCGGATAAACCAACGTGAGCTTCACTCTTTTGGGCCAGCCAGGGCGCACCCTGATCTCCAATTCATATTCATTAAGCGTGAAATATTATAGAAATAAGTTTGGTAATAGCAATCATCTTTCAATTATCTTGGATTCGTTAGCCTTGTGACAAGACACAGAAAAGGGAAAATCATGAATATCAAATGGGACCAATTTAAGCAAATGATCATGGACTAAATCACAATTTCATGAATGAATAATATTAATTAAATAGCAGCAGGCATATGAATCATTCTAGCACGATCGCTAACCAAGGGTTTTTTCATACCACAAAGAGCGGATCAAACATCTCGTCGTTTCTTTTTCCCGCCAAGAGAGCATGCATGGTCCATGTACGGTGAAGAGAAAATTGAAGATGATGAAAATGAGCCCTTTCTTCTGACTCTATTCTGCCTCACATCTAATTTCCCTCTTTTCTCTCCTCGCTGCTTTCATCATCCGAACCTTCTGTTTACATCAAACGCCTCCCACTTGCTCTGCCCCTCGTCGTTCGTCGCCATGTTCTGATCCTTCTTCCAAACCTTCCTCAGCATCAGACCTCGCCTCTGACCAGGGCCAGGTGTTGGTCATCGTCACGGCAGCGGTCGGTGGCTTCACTCTCCTCGTCATCCTCACCCTCTTCCTCCTGATCACTGGGAGGTAAGAGCACTTCGCTGCCTTGATGTTCACCGTCTTGCCTGACTTTTAAAATCAGTCGCTGTTGTCCGGTTTCCGACCTGTACATTGAGCCAGCACACGAAGGGGGCTGACCCTAGTTAGTAATATGAATTGCACACGTGAAGGTCCGGCAAAGTATTTTTTTTTACGTCCGCTTTGAGGAAGATCCTATTTTGTTTGTAACTTGCGGTTTCTTCCTTAAACTACACAACTGTACATGTGTCATTTGTTGCCTCACATATATATATGAATTCAAGTGATGACGAGGACGTCTTGAGGAAGGCTGGTTCGATGTTCACACATGTCTGTTAGCGGGATCTCTGTGTGATTTTGCACACATTTGATTCCATAAATATGCATTTATAATTGCGCAGTGACTCAATGATTCTCGGGCTCCTGGAAAGGAGTAGCATAGATTATCACATGATCTATTAATGAGTATGGTTATTATTAACCATGACATTACTTGCGTGAACATGTATGAACTTTAATCTATAATGTGGGTGGGTGAAAACAGACATGTACAGAAATATTACAAATGAAAGGCAAAGCAAGGCTGCTTTTGTGTGAGTGAATGTGTCGGGGGAAAAAAACACATCTGAACTAAGTGTGAAGCCGAGACTGTTTGGATTCTAAATAATGTGCCCCCAAAAATAACTGAATAAAAACAAATGTTGAAACACAGACTAAAATAGTCAACAATATTTTCTTGTAATTATTCTATTTTATTTTTATTTTTTTCAGAACGACGTTTAGTTAAATGTAGCAAACTATATTTACAATACAAGCGATCAATCTGCTTTAATTGATTTAAATGTTCCGTGTTCCAATATGGGAACGTTAACGTAATAGTTACATGTAACATTTTGCCAGCAACATCACCATTTATCTGGAGTCACCTGATGAATGTAAGTCCAGTGTTGTCTTTCATTTAGCTCTTGTTTGGTCGCTGGCTCTTTAGCTGCTAAATGTTTCAGTGTGTTCACCAACCAGTCGTTAAATCTGTCCGTTTGGTGCGGAGCGAATGTACACAGCACCGTTTTTTAACGCCTTTCCAATGAAAACAACTGCATGCTGCAACAGAAAACAGCACTGTGACGTCGTTGAGAGTGAACCAAAACAATAAAGTTGTCAGCCGGATCCAATAAAGCTCCATCTGTAAACCCCAGGATTCAGGTAATAATTCTCTGCAGCTTCACCTTTCAAACCTTGTCCCATTATTTTCACATTGTCATTTGCTATTTTTGTATCATAAAAACACGGATTATAACCTCTTTAAAAGGTATGATAGTGCTCTGATGTTGTCACTGTTTTGCAAATAAATACAACCATTCAGTAACAGTTGACCCTTTCTCCCAACACTGCTGATGTAAATGGGCCTCAAATCTGAATCTATGTGCTAACAGAGGAACATTTGGAATTTGAAAGTTTGCTAGTTGACAAAATCAGGAGCAGATCGGATTGCACATTGTGGGACTTTTTTTTATTAACAGCAGCCTCAGAGAGCGTTGTGCAAATAACGAGTCTAGTACAGAGGAGTCCTAGAATTAAATATATATTTTAGAGAATTCTAGTAAATGTCGGAAAAGGCGTTTATAAATGACCCGAAACCAATTGTTCTGTCATTGTGAAGAAATTGCTAGAAACTCCTACACATCCTAGAAAAAAAAGAATGGTACCCGGTAATTGGAAACATATTTTGGCTAAGCAAGTTGACATTTTACTTTAGGTATTTGCATTAGAATTTAACGTGTTATTAGCGAGGAAAACCCTGGAGTCTTGCTCTGGGATGACATTTGATAAAATTGTCAGAATGTGGCATTCTCCGCCTAAAGTTATCGGTAATATAATTAGCTGCTCTTTCTTGGAGGCCAGATCGTTGAAAGCATTGGATTTATGGAAGGTATTTACAATGCTCTTGTTATTTGTAACATTGTGATCCCAGTGTGTGTCTTTTTCACTGGTTTTTATTGTATGAACAACTCACACAAACACACCACATGCAAGAGCCAAAACAACCCCTATAAGCTTTTTGCGTTCCAACACCAGAAGGACCTTTTTTTTTTTTTTAAACTAGTCGAGCTAAAAGCAGTTGCTGCAGCAGTTTAAGTGTTTTCTGACTTTAGCACACTTCGTCATATCTGCGATCCGTCTGCCCTGTGTGGGAGGGACTCTTTGAATTAAAAAAAACAACCTCTAAATACATTTGAGCTTTCAGTCATGCGGCTGTCGTAACACAAGTGAGGACATAAGAGGAGCCGCAGTACGGGGAGGTTCCACACCTGGTTGCCCTGAAAACGTCCTTGATTTCCATCTATGTTTGCAGCTGCTCTTGTTAAATTTCCACCGGAGCCGAGCTGTCACGACTGCACACTAGCTGGAGAGTTTTACCGCACGCGTGCTCTTTCTCCTTGAGCTGCCCGTCAGTCTCTGCTTCTCCTTCTCCTTCTTTTTTTTTAATTATTTCATTTTATCGTTTCCTTCGTATCATCTTCCATCCATCCCCTCTCCGTGGCCTTTGCATCGGCGGAGAGTTGCGCCACGGTGAGGTGAGCGGGAGGGATGTCGGGGAAGGGGGGGCCAACGCGGGAGTGGTTTGAATTACACCGATGCTTTGATTAGGGCTCTTGGCAAGGTTGTTTTACCGAGGTGCGTGCGTGTGTGTGTATGTGTGGGTGTGCAAAGTGCTGGTGAATATGTAACGCACCGGCGCTCAGCGGCCCAGAGAGCGCTGACGGACGCCACGGCCTTTGTGTGTGATAACTGTCTTTGTGTGTGTCTGCGCGCGCGGCCTCTTCTGCGACATGAAAGCCGGTGAGACAGAGGGATGGGCGGATAAAGGGGATCAGAGGATGGGACTGGAAAGGACTGATAAAGGCACATGCCACCATTTCTTTAATGAACAGCTTGACCCCATCACCAGAGGTCAACAGCGGCGTTCCAAATCCCCTTCCTGCCCTGCCAGCCGGTTATTGGCCGCCGTGTTATCGGCTCTGTCTATCAGTGTCCAGGATCCCACAGATTTCACTTAGCCGAAGCCCAATCTGGCAACCCGCGGCTCGGAGCCCCCCTGACACCGCCTCTAATGTGGCAACCGGGATTATGTTGAGTCTTCAAGGAGGAGGCTCGCATGCGATCACACGATCCCACACACATTAGTATAAGCAAGAACTTTCTCCCCGAGTACTTTGTGGGCATTTTGACTCCTGGTTTACTGACTGTACTCATCATTTTAATACTTTTAAAAGGTAATACAGTCCTCTCTCCCGTTGTTTTTGTTGGTGACCACGGTTACCGAGCCAACCGCCCTCGCTTCACATTATAAACAAACATTATATATATATATATATATATTTTTTTTTTAAAGTCACTCAGAAGTTGAAATAGTCAATTGAATTGAGTTGAAGTTGGACCGAACACAGCTGATAGTCCGTGTCTAGACCTTTTCTAAATGTATAATAACTATCAGCAATACTACAGGGTTGCTTTCAACCATGATGAGTAACTGTAAACGTGACCATGTCATTGACACATATAACTAAACTCATTTTCGATCACTAAAGAGGCAGAAAATCAAACTTAGAAAACGAGACAATTTTAAAAGACTTCAAATCCCTACATTCAGAATAACGTGGCATTATTTATGGATTCAACACTCAGCAGTTCTCAGGCGTTCTTTTTAATATTTTGTCTCAATGTCTTTGCCTTTTTTCTCCTGTGTGTTTCTGAAGGGGTAGTTTGTGTTTTCCTCACTTTTTATTTTAGCATTCAAGCGTCTATTTGGATAAATCCCTCTCTGGTCTTCTGCACATGCTGTCATCTAATCTCTCAGCTTTTGAGACTTTCTTGGCAGCAGCGTTTTATCAGCCATTGACTGTCTCTCGTTGTCTCAGCGCCCAGACAAACACACACACACACACACACACACAGGAGGAGAGTTTTTAAATCAGGTGATGCGTTTAATTCTCTTTGTGAATTCCATTAACTATATTTCTCTCAAGCATTTTGAATGTGTGTGTTTATGTGTATATTTCTACACACCACTACCATTTGCATTTCATCAACTTAATCTGTAAACCATCTCGCCTACCAAAAATTACCAAAAATGAAGAACCTTGCAACATTGTTTGCTTTTATTCAGTTTCATTCTCGCTCATATGCACCGAAGCTGTGTTTGTTTCTCTGCCGTTTGATTTTGACTTTAACTTCATCCCTCAATTTGTTTTCCAGGTGTCAGTGGTACTTTAAGGCCAAGATGTCTACAGAAGAGAAAAGGAGGACAGATTATCAGAATGGACAAGGTAAATCAATCTGTCTATTTTTCTCGAGTCAACAAATAACCTTCATTTGCATGGTGATGATGCTGCAAGCTTACACAGAAACGCAAAAATGGACTTTTATTGTAAAAGTATCAAGAGAAATGTGAAAAAATGTTGCATTTGAGCAAAATGATTCAGACCACCATTTTCCTTTATCTGTTTGTCTCTTTCGTCCATTTGCTCTCCCACCAGAGCTTTTCTTTCCTTTGTTTTTGAAGAATCTTGTTACGTAGCGAGCTGTCTGCCGCTGCACTCTTGTACGTCTCTTTCTCTGGCCTCCTTTTTTTTCTTTCCTAACTTTTCATTTCCGACATGAAAAAACTAAAATTGTAATGAGAGCTGAAAAAAGAAAAGAAAGTGGGCCTAAAGAAAACGACTGGGGTGATAAACGCGGAGATTGCAGGAGGAGAAACCGAGTGGGGAGAGAAACAAGAATGCTGCGGGGTAAGAGGAGGACAGGAGAGGACAAAGAAATGAGACACTTCTGAGAGGAAAGGCAGAAAACGTATAATCAAATTCTACATGAGATTTGTTTTCTGAGGGTAGCTAACAAGCTGCCAGTGTAATAGCCCACATTAAAGCTCATACCTTCTACCACCGTGTGTATTGTCCCGGCTCTAGGTGTGTTGCTTAGCAGAAGCTTGGAGAGGATTTTTGGGCTTTTGCCAGTTTATAAATCACAGAGAAGCTCACTGTGTTTTATTTTGGGGGCTTTGCGACGGCTGTATCGATCCAATGCCCACAAAACAGGGCTTTTGTCCAGCCGGCCCCTCTCCTCCCCTCCTCCCCTGTCCCCCCTCCACTGAGATCGGGGTCAGAGGGCAGAACAGCGGCAGCCTGTTAAAGAGTCGCTGACTTGCTCAAGGACACTTCAGCAGGGTGAACACTTGCTTGAAATAGAGGCTGAGACCTCGCCCCGGTGAAAAGACCCTGCTGATTCTCAGCAAAAGAAAGAGGACGAACGAGCACTGCGTGCGTGCGTGCGTGCGCCTCCTGGTTGCTTCAGATGAGCCAGCGTGCCCTTGTTGAGTGGATTTGTAGCCACAGCAGCTGCAGTTATAGTAGAAGTAGTAATAACGGCAATGGAAGCAGAAGCAGTAATGTAGTCGCTTCTCTGACATTCTTTAATTTGAATACACAAACTCATAGGATCTTTGTCTGTGTCCCCACAGTCCCTTTCCCGGGAATAAAGACGTACGTGGACCCTGATACATACGAAGACCCGACACAGGCTGTCCACGAGTTCACCAAGGAGATCGACCCCTCCAGGATCCGCATCGAGAGGGTCATCGGAGCCGGTATGCGCACGCACACACACACACACACACACACACACACACACGGGCCCCTCCGCCTCCATTGTTCACACTAAAGACGATGCCAGTGTCTCACTGTCATTTTCACTGTGAAGACTGTAGGAATATTAAAGCTTAACTGGTTTAAAGAACAAAAGAAAATGTGACAATAGATCCGAGGCTATTTTAAGAAGGTGGAAAGAGAGAATTTCATTAAGTTGAAGTAATCAGAGAAGATGCAATAATGCTGCAGTTTAGATGGGAACCGCAACAGTGCCCTCAGGTGGCAGATTGTGCTGCATCTGATTTCTGATAGTGATAAAGTGTGTGTGTGTGTGTGTGTGTGTGTGTGTGTGTGTGTGTGTGTGTGTGTGTGTGTGTGTGTGTGTGTGTGTGTGTGTGTGTGTGTGCGCGCGTACACTTCAGGTGAGTTCGGCGAGGTGTGCAGCGGCCGCCTGAGAACACCGGGGAAGAAGGAGATCGCCGTGGCAATAAAGACACTGAAGGGCGGATACGTAGAGCGCCAAAGGCGGGACTTCCTGCGCGAGGCGTCAATCATGGGCCAGTTTGACCACCCCAACATAATCAGGCTGGAGGGCGTCGTCACTAAAAGTAAGTCGGATTATGGGGAAACGTTCAGGTACACTTGGTAACTGTGCACATTCACTGCCAATCTCCTGCAAGCTGCTGATGAAACCAAGCAAATATGACCTCTCATTTGGGTCAGACTCTTTTTTTAAATCTTCACTTCAGTTAAAATGTTGGGTCCGAATGTGATTCTAAGCACGAGAAACCAAATAGTTGCACTTTCCACAACCTATTCCTCTAGAAGCCAAACAAAATGTAACAAGAGCATTTTTAATTGCTATGTATTTATCCATCACAGTGTTAACCGCAGTCTGACGGATGAATTCATGTCTGTTTGTCTGTCAAGTCACTGTGTGATTTTCTCTGTATTTACAAGATAAAGTGGTCTGTGTTGTTTACATGCAAAGTTTTGTGTCGCTTTGAGTGTGCGTTATCCCCTGCACGTATTCACAGTGCTGGTGTGTGCGTGCGTTTATCTTGTGTGCGAGTGCATTTTCATGTGCAGGAATACGCTTTAGCTACGAAAAGTGTCCGTGTGTGTGGACTTGTTAACGAGCTCTGTTTTACTGGGCGCCCCCTGCCCAACATATGGTTGTTTTTACAGGGTTTGTATAAACTGAGACACTGCTGTGAATATAAATATGCACAGACACACACACACACACACACACACACACACACACAGCCCAAACCCTCCCCTCCCACGAACAGAGGACACATCTCGGCTCTGACCCCCGCTGACAAGGATTCAGCCGAGAGGGGTCTTCAAAGGCCGATGCTGCCACTACAGCGTCGGAGCAGCTGATTACTGATGTTTTGCATGAATTGATTTAAACTGTAGTTTTTATAGTTGATCATCATCCGAAGCCAAAAGTCCTCCCACGCAACACTGAGAGGATTTCTCTGGTTAGACATGTGATTATAAAAGCAAAACATTTTGAGTGACTGAGGCCGGGAAGGGTTTTAGAGGTCAGAGGTCAACAGCGGCTACTGGCTTCACAGAAAAGGCGTTCAAAAGGTCTTTATTTTTGAATGGAAGCATTTTCACAGTCATCTGGCATTAATTGTGTTCTTTTTCTTTCTGTTGTTACTTACTTACCTCTTACCAACAACATCACAAACCCTTGAACTCATAATTTATTTCTTGTGCTTTTTCCTGAGAAACTTTAAAGTAGAACAAAGTTCAGGCTCTGCTTCTTACAAATAATTTATTTCTCAACTAGTAAACAAAACCTCAACTGAAAAATAAAAAAGCCCTGGACTTTCACTTCACTGGTCATGAGTTTGTTACAGTTACACTTAAATATTACTTGAGATTAACTAAATCAAATTACTTTCAGTAGATTAATGTGAGGTGACGGTATGGCTGTATTTTATTTCACCATTGTTTTTTTATATGAGCCGTCGGGGCGCCACACACAAAGTAAAAAGCATGAAATATATTCCGTAAAATCGTTTCAATCTAAAATAAGATAAATAACCAGTTCATCGTAATTTCTTCCATCTGCATTTTATAAGAGAGGAAGTTCAGAGCAAACCATTTCCAATCGTGCCTGCAAACGCAGACACGCACAATCCAATACACACTAAATCATGCAATCAAAAGCCATTTGTGCTTGGCAGCTGGGGTATCACATATAGAGACGCATTATTCCTATCGCTCGTCTGTCTGCCCGCCTCTATCGTTGCCTTCCTCTCACTTTCTCCATTGTTCACTCCCCACATCTGCTGTTGTTCTTCAGAGACTAATTATGGAGTGTATTGTGCTGTGACGGACTGCTATACCTGCTCCGAAATAACAGGTGACACATTTGACTCTGGTAAACAGGTGCGTTTGTTTTTGTTGAGGCGCTGCACTACATAAGTATATATTGTTTCCAGGCCCCGCTAATTAGCTCGGGAGAGCCAAGCTTGATCAAATCATTTGCTGCCTGTCCCTTCTGGATTGGTGTCGGAGGAAAGTGTCTGCAAATTTAAGGGTACGAGGATACAATTTTGTGGTTTAGGAAAAAGAAAGCAACATCATGTGCCTGTTTGGTCTGAAGAATGTCTTCTCATCCATCCATGCATCCATCCATGTACCCACGAGCCTTCTTTTCTCTGGTGACGGCACTGTGGGGTTACGAGCAACATTCCCATGTTGATGCTGGATTCAGCTTTGATCACTTTTAAGAAAAAACTAATTCAAGCTGCTTAAAGGTGAATGTCACACAGTCGATAAGTTTTACGTTTTTGCTCCTTACCTGCAAATACCCAAACCAAACACTTTGTCGCCTAAATCCAACCAACCGTTTACAACCTAAACCAACATGCATTGCACATTTCTGCAACTGCAAATCAAGGCTGCTAAAACTTTCCTGAAACTTATTTGATCCTGAAACATCCACATTGAGTACAGATGTACTCAATGTGGATGTGACATTATATATATATATATATATATATATATATATATATATATATATATATATATATATATATGCATTTTCAAACATTAAAAATCTTGAATGCAACTAATCAAATAAATATTTATTATAGTCCTAGTTCTTCTGAAGCTGGTATAAGAATTTACCACCACTAACACTGTGTGTCTGTCACAGCTATTACACATCTCTGCTTCGACATTAAGACATTTTGAGTAAGACCTTTCACTGTGTGATTTTTCACATTCCCACGTGAGGAAAAGAGCTGTCTTGAACCCGGAGTGCGGCACCGCGGTTTCTCTTCACTTTGACTTTCTCTTTCGAGCAGCTCAGAATGTTTCACAGCTCGCCGGCGGCACACAGGCCGGGACATCTGCCTCTCAGCTGTGAACCGGTCAATCAGCAACACCGCAGGGAAAGTCTGTGGGGGAACAATAACATTTGGAGGGAGGCAGTTTAGACCTGTTTCTGAACCAACGCTTCATGTCATGCATGAAGTGAATACGGTGAATAGATCCTGTTTAAAGGGTCGGGAGGGCTTTATGAATAGAGCGTCTGGACTCAATGTTTCAATCAACCTCTGACTGCCTGGGTGATTTCCCAGCCCTCTTTTTGTCTCAGACTGGCAGGTACACACACACACGCACACATGCACGCACACAGTATGATTTTGTCAGTGTTTACCGGAGTAAATATGGACCAATATGCCACTAATGAAGATTATCATGTGCTTCATCAGGGGATCATTTGGGGCCATCGTCCCTTGACTAATAGTTTGATGGCCTTTGTTAATAAATGATCATGCTGTCCAGTTTTTCTTCCCTGTTGCCATTTGATATCTGTATGCACAAGTTTAGGTGTCAATAACATTTTGGCAATAACAACAAATAACACTTTGTTAAAAATGATTGCAGTTAATTTGCAGTGTAATCTATTAATGGTCCAAATGAAATGAAATAGTTTTTCAACACAATAAAGAATATTAACCTTCATATTTACTTTTAGAAATATAATTACTAATATTACTATTAGAAAATCTAATCACAGACAAAGTGCCAGTCACTAGTTTATTGGGCCAATGGAAGTGGCTCGGGGATGAAGTCATTTTGTCCTCCCCGGTACACTCTCAAAACAAATCCATAACAGCAAATAAAAAAAAACCTTGTACAAATAATCCGCTTGTTGTGTTTGTGTGTTTGCAGGCCGGCCTGTGATGATTGTGGTGGAGTACGTGGAAAACGGATCACTGGACTCATTTCTGAGGGTGAGACTGTTTTCGTCTGCTTTCAGCCTCGGGTTGGACTTCTGTGAGAAAAATACATATGACAAAAAAAAGCTCATATAAATATAGCTTTAAAAAAAAAAAAGAGAAAACCATCACAATAGTTCTGAAGGTCTTTGTGTCTCAGTCTGTTAAATCAAAACTACCTTCTGTGTTTTTGCCGCTGGGGGGGGATGGCGAGATTACCCTCCATAAATTAAGGTTATTGCTCACAGCTGCACAAGCACAGTAGAATATTTGTGAAAACTAAGAAAATCATTCATTTTGTCTCAAGAAGCTGGAATGGGAACACTTTGTTCTACCAATAAAGTGCCAGGATCATTCTAAACAAACCATTTGTGCTCCTTTACGAAACAAAGTATTTCAAAAGCGAATGCTATTTTGCTCCACACACAACATCATGTTTCTGTCGGTGCCACAACCTCCTGATCTCTTTTTATCAATGCTGGGCTTTTCTTTGCTCACTGTTCTCGTCACCCTGCTCTCCCTTATCAGCAACATGACGGCCACTTCACCGTCATCCAGCTGGTCGGCATGCTGCGTGGCATCGCCTCGGGCATGAAGTACCTGTCCGACATGGGCTACGTGCACCGAGACCTGGCGGCTCGGAACATCCTGGTCAACAGCAACCTGGTGTGCAAAGTGTCCGACTTCGGCCTGTCCCGTGTGCTGGAGGACGACCCGGAGGCCGCCTACACCACCACGGTACGCATCCGATACGGTGCACCATTGGCCCTTAACGGCTTGACTAAATGGAAACCGTCAACCCGGAGGGATGGAGGCGTTTCATTTTTGCTACGTAGCGTTCGTTTTCAACCCCGAGAAGAATGCAGTTCCGTGGGACGTACTGGAGTTTTGTGTTATAGGGAATGAAAAGGTCAGATGTCACGTAGGATTTTACATCAGTTCACACATTAGTGTCATATTGTCTGAAAGCCAATTTCTCCTCTTAGAAATGAGCTGAAACACTTCAGGGGGTTGGAAGGCAATCATAGTATTTTCATTTCCTCCTTTTCTCAGCAGCAAGTTTTGCCTTTTTTTTTCTCCTTGAACCCCATTAAAAGAAGAGTCTTGAACTCTGAATCAGTAGAGATCGAATAAATTGCAAATCAATTTACCGAGTCGTACCGAGAGGTTACGAGAGCTACTCTGTGTCTCCTTCTCTGTGTTTGCACCACAACACACAAAACCGGTTCACTTTAATTCTGTGCCTACTCTTCTTCCACACACAAGGTCGTTGCGTAAAGGAGATGCTGTAAAATGGGGCGGTACCGAGCTCTACTTTATGTGATTTACCAGATTCAATCGCCCCCCCCCCCACGAGTGTACACTGTGTCTGTGTGTGAACAGGGAGGTAAGATCCCCATCCGATGGACGGCTCCAGAGGCCATCTCATACAGGAAGTTCTCCTCGGCCAGCGACGCCTGGAGTTATGGCATCGTCATGTGGGAAGTGATGTCATACGGGGAGCGGCCATACTGGGAAATGTCCAATCAGGATGTGAGTATTACTGGCAGCCATAAGAACGGCTGTTTACTTGTGTTTGTGACACATGAGAAGCTGGAAAATGTTCTTTAGCATTACAGATCTGAATTTTAAACGTTGTCCGCCCTCAATGGTAGCTACAAACCAGTGACACAGCTGCATGAACATGCTGGTGTATGCCTTCATGAACCATTCCTTTAAGGGGATTCCTCTGAGGCGTCTCAGGGATCATTCCCGTGGATGGAAGAGACTTGTCAGTGCTGCTTCCACAAACATTCTCGTCACAAGCCCGGGTCTCTAACCTCTAGCACCACAGCGTCCCTCAATCTTGACTCCTGGATTCAAGCCTTGCTCCGTCGAGTAAATTCTGAGTTTATTTTCCATTATGTCGGTTGAAATTGCTGCCCTTTAACCGGCTCCCTGACTTTTTCCTAACATGAAAAGCTTACCCCTGAGAGACAGGAGGGGAGGAACAGCTACGCTGGTGAGATTCACCAAAAAGGATAAAACGAAAGCTGAGCGAGAGGGAAAGGAAGAGAGCGTTGAAGGTCAGAGGGTCAGAGGACTTTGGGCTGATGGAGGGGGAGTTTAAAGCTGTGGATTCAGTGCGGCAACCCGCTGATCCCCGGGCCGCGTTCATGGATTGGAGGGGCCACGGCGGAAGCGGCTCCATCCCTCTCTCCGCTGAGTGTGAAAGCTCCGCCGTAATCCCTTCAACCCCTCACACACAGGCCCGTACGCATCGTCGCAGACACACAGACACACACACACATCCACTGAGGTCCCGGGGGTTTGGGGCGGATTGTTTGGTTGTCTGGGAATTGCTTAGATGTGCTTTCCAAAGCAAAAGGCCAGCCGAGCCGCAAAACCAGCCAAACACTATCTGTTCCTGGTCAGCCACTTACCGCGGCTCCCCGCCAAGATACGCGGATCTCTACTTTCCCGTAGACGCACCGATACGACATGGAGATCAGTAACACACGCTATCAGATTCGATGAAGAAGGGGTTTATGTTTGTGTGCCGTAGGTGTTTTGGGATTGTCAGTGCAGATTAACGTCCGGGCACGTGGCTGAAAGTTTAAGTTCAAACTCGTCTGGGAATTAAACATACAAGGAGGGAGAGGAGGTTACGGGAAGTGGTAGAAGCTTACACACAACGTTAAGGATACCTGAAGGATCAAGTAGGTAATCTGCCTCTTTGGCTGAAGGCTTACAGCTGGACAGGCAAAGGTCCCCGATGGATTTTTGAAAGATAAGATATTTAAAGAGTAGTTTTTCTATCATTTTTGTAGGTTGACTTATTGGCACCACACATCCATAAACAAATCCGTACAATGCCAAACAACGCTCCATATAATTTAGAAGATGAAACGTCTTTGTCTGGTCTGCTGCAGTCTGCAAGATCAAATACGAATCACAATCTCAAGTCTCCATCTAAAGCTCCCATGCACCGAATAGATGAATCTTCCAAGTTGATTAAATTCTAACACAGCAGCCCTTTTTCTCCACATTTAGACCTCATCTTTCTTCGCATTCAACTGTCTCTCCAGGTGATTCTCTCAATTGAAGAAGGATACCGGCTGCCTGCGCCGATGGGATGCCCTGTGGCCCTGCACCAGCTGATGCTGCACTGCTGGCAGAAGGAGAGGAGTCATCGGCCCAAATTCACTGATGTTGTTTCCTTCTTGGATAAACTGATCCGTAACCCCAGCAGCCTGTTGCCGCTGGTAGAGGACATTCAGAGGTACGCTATTGAATAGTGCTTTAAGAAAAAAATAAATGCCCCGCAAGTTCATTTCAGCGGAGGTGACCACATTTTTCAAGCATAACAGAGTTATTTGAGTTGCATTGAAGGGGGAGCTGTGATAGGTCATCTCTTCTGAAGCCGGGCAAAGGTACGGTGACTCGCCTGGTAAAGGAGGCCTGTGAAAAGCTCTCACTACTGACGCATTAACGTATAAACCAAGTGTGTGTCAGTCTGAGAACTGTAAACCAACGAGGTCGGTAGTCCACCTCTTGAGATGCTCTAAAATACCAGCAGGACCTGACATCATCATCCGCTCTTCTTGTTTGTTTGTTTTTTTGTATCAGTCTTCCCGAATCTCCGGGGGAGGAGATGGACTACCCAATGTTCATATCCATCGGCGACTGGCTGGACGCCATTAAGATGAGTCAATACAAGAGCAATTTCATGGCAGCTGGCTACAACACATTGGATTCTGTTGCAAGGATGAGTATCGAGTGAGTAGCACGAAATACGGCTATTATTGAATCGCCTGAAACCAAATAGGACCGTCTTTGTTGTAGGAGTTGGGCTTCAGAGGGACCATGTTCAGTCTACTTATTACGAGGAATACTATTGAAACTGTGCATGTATTTTGTGATTCTTTGAGGGAGCTTTCAAAGTGTGCCAAATTTACACGCTAATAATTCCATCAATAATTTATAAAAACGTGTTTGCTCCCCTTTTTTTGATTGGTTGATTGAGCCCCTGTGGTTGGATACACAAAGTGGTCTGACAGAGACTGAAAGGGGATGTGATTTAAATGATTTTGTCCATCCTCACTCACGCCGACATATGACCGAGGGAGCCGCAGATGAAACTCCACCAAACAAAAAGTACCCACAAGTAAGACCTAAAGCGTGCGCGTGCGTTTCTCTGCCTCCCCTCTCGGCCCTAGAGATGTGAGGCGTATAGGGGTGGAGCTGATCGGCCACCAGAGGCGGATCTCCAGCAGCGTGCAGACCCTCCGCCTTCAGCTGCTGCACGAACAGGAGAAGGGCTTCCATGTATGAGGGCGCCCCGTGACACGACCTGGGATGGACGGATGGATGGACCAGAGGGAAGTGAAGTCTAGACCACTGGACAGACGCTCCACGGCCGGTGCCTGAGTCTCAGCCCCCCTCGTACAGGAGGTCACCGGACGGACCACCACTCCGCAGACTGACCCCCTGGTCTCCCTCACGTCCAGCAGTAACAGACGCTGTACACCCAACACCCAGTGTGACTGGCTCTGCCAGACTGTCGCGGCCCGATGGACTTCAAAGACTGGCCCCGGCCTTCTCTTAGGGGAATGTAATGCCTTGTTGCAGCAGCAGTCATTTGTGTGGAGCAACAATATCTAGATGTAGATTTTCAAACATAATCTACTAAATCTTCAATTTTCCTTTTGTTGCTCCAAGTGATGTGCTCATTTAGCTGCTATTGGTTGTGCAAACAAAAAGTATTTGGAAAACGTATTCTCGATATCTTTTATTTTGGAGTTTGGTCATTTATATATCATGATTGGTATAATTTGCATTGCTTTAGTTTAACCAGAACATCTGGTGTGCTAATACTTGAAGAAAGAAGTGAGAAGCAAGTGACAGAGAATTCTTGAATGTTTAAAAGTGTATAGACAATTAATCAATAATTATTATCATAACCTAATATCTATATATGTGCAGTCCTGTATGTGAAAGCCCTAGTAAATCTGGTTCTTATTCAAGATGTTTTATTTATTGAAGATTTTTATCCAAATCAGCAATACAGTATTATGCAGTCACCTCGGTATCTCAGAGAGAAATGAAGAATTGTGCAATGGCAGAACTGTTGTTGACTTGTTGTAAACATGAGGGTTCACCCCCCCACCATCCACCTTTATCGTCACATGCTGAACTCGTGGAACTGGATCTGTTGCCTTCAGATGAACAACCATACAAGTCCATTCCGACGGTTATCAGCGACCAGCGTGCTCACAGTCGTGTGATAAGCCTGATACGTTTTTCTGATTGTGTTACACGTTGCCTGAAAGTACACAATCTCCACCGTCTTAACATATGAATGTTCACGGAGCTTAGACAGGAGGTGTTCGAAACCGTCTGGAAACGTACCACGGGCTTATATGGTTCTTCAGAACAAGCCGAAGTGCTTTCATTTACATTCATGTTTGCTTTTTTTTTTAATTCCGCTTGCACACGTGCACTAATTCAGTGCACTTCTGGGAGTCAACTACTCCAGTATGTTCTTATGTTGCATAAAGGTTGTGGCGTTAGTGGCATTACGGCAAATCGGTGTACATAGACGTAGTGGGAAGTGCAAAACGTTGGATCTGCAGTAGGTGAGTAGTCGAGTTGTGAAACGTTTAACATTAAAATGGGAAAAGTTCCTCATTGGTTTAGTCAGTGGTGAATAGGCAGTGCTGCAGGACATAGTTAGCTAGTTGAGTTTGGGAATAGCAGAAGTAGCCACAAGCCGGTGGATGGAAAGAGGCGGTACACACAAACAGCAGCATCACAACTGTGTCATTCTAACAGCAACACACACACACACACAGAATGCCTTACAGTCTGTTAACCATAAGAGACAAACACTTTAGAGCGGTTCTTACGTTTCAGTGCCGTTACCGGACCTAGCCAACAGTTTGAGTTGTACTTACACCATATTCAAGAGAGGGGGGTGGGGGGGTCGCTTGAGGATTAATGTCGAAGGCAAACAGGATCCAGAGATCCGTTATGCATCGAGGCCTGCAGCAATAGGAAGAAACACACACACACACACAGATTAGCACGCACGCGCTCACTTTCACCACCCCCTCTACAGAGTACGGAGAATATCAGATGCTGTTTGTTTAGCATGTTCTACTGCTGAGCAATGTTAGAACGTTCTTTTGTACAAAGTACAAGTATACTTATAATTCTTGTATTTTATTTTTTTATAATTTCCAAAGAGATGTTGTAGATCTTGCACACTGTAAGAGGCGGTTACAGCGAATATTTATTTGCAAATAAAGATAAACAGTTCTGGTGGTTGACTGCTCATTTCATTTTGTTGCCGTTTTTAACAAAAAACACGGTGAACAGCATTGATTTAAAGGAATAGATCATCATGTTTTTGATGTTGTGAAATGAAGGAGCGAGCTATTACAGAGTTAGCCGCATTTATTTTTGTGAATCGTTTTTACACCACGTCTTGGTTGCTTCCATGAAGTCGTGCACAGACCTTATCACCATGAGATGGAGCTGTCGGACCACTGACCAGCTCCAGAACCGACAAATTGAATTCCCACAAGCATTATGGAAAAGATAAATAATACCCTAAATAAATGGGATATGTTTTCTTCTCAGAGTTTGCTTCATTCCTTCCTCGTATAACCTCCATTACGATTGAATGAGGAACGAGACAAACAGGTTAAATTAAGCCCGAGTTGGACTGGTAAATCAAACGCAGCAGGATGGAGGGCCTGGAAAGCTCCACGCTCCACCATCAGGTCACCTGGTGATCCAAAGAGCTTAATTCGACTTAATAGGATTACCTACAAGCTGGGATGCCCGGGCGGGGACACTCAGCTTGGGACACTATTCACTGCAGGTACCGGGAACAGGCTAAACGCGGCAGTGTTCATCCCTATTGTTGGTTCAAATATCACTATATTTAATCTACTGTACTCAGACTCTCTATGGGGTGATGCGTTAAAAAAAATGCAAACGGTTTAGCATCCGTCGAGTCTAATGGGGCTGCTGGATAAACTGTCGGGCTGGCTCGGCCTCCGGAAGAAAGAGGTCAACGTTCTGTGTTTGGGACTCGACAACAGCGGGAAAACTACCATCATCAACCAACTCAAACCCTCCTCTGTAAGTACACGAAGCTGGCACTTGACGTGAGAGTGAACTGTACCTGCTTTAGTCTAACATGTGGGTGGACAAGCGTTTTATCCGTGAAAAAACTAAATTGTAATAAATACATATTTATACGGCCTGTCAAAATCTCCTTTATTTGACTGCAGTCGTTCACTGATCGCTTGTTTTCAGCATTTGAATCATTTAGGCCCATTGTCACCCGAATGGAAACATGTTAGTCAGGTAAATTCCATATCGTACTTTCCTTATAATATTTTCTTGTTGACATACTTTTGCCGTTACTTGTCTGTTTTTGTGTTTGTGTGCGCTGGTCAAATGCAGACACCGGCACAGGAAATAGTCCCGACCATCGGCTTCAACATCGAAAAGTTCAAGAGTTCAAGGTAGAGTTTTACACACAGTCGTGCATATTTATTATTCATGTACAGACATGTATAATGGCTAATGTAACAATCAAGTACGATCGTAACTTCTCTCTCTGTCTCTGCAGCCTGTCTTTTACAGTCTTTGATATGTCCGGGCAGAGCAGGTACAGAAACCTGTGGGAGCATTACTACAAGTACGAGACACAAGACGCCGTCACTCATCCAATATTAAAAAACGCTACCGTCCCGAGACTCCGAGACACGTCTAACTTCTTCTCCTCTCCTCAGAGAAAGTCACGCCATCATCTTTGTCATTGACAGCGGTGACAAACTGAGAATGGTCGTTGCCAAAGAGGAACTGGATACTCTTCTCAACCACGAAGGTGCGTAATCTGTCGCCAGAGTGTTTTTACTCCTCTCGCGTGTGAATGAAGACACATTTTGTATACTGTTTCTACTGAAAATCATGATTGACATTTACTGTCTGAGGCCTCCATAAACTGTTGCCATTCGTACTTCACGGTCCAGCATTACACAAGTAAAACACTATGGAGAAGTCCTTGAGGTCACTGGTTGTCACTTTGGATTGAAACCTGCTAGTTTTAGTCTTCCATCAAGCACCTGGTCTAACGTGTTACAACCTAACAACGTTTTACGTATAAAGATGCGTGTGTGTCAAACAATAAGTGGTCGGCTGTTACTCATTATCATGTCAATTAAAATATTTATAACCCAGATATCCGCAGCAAAAAGATGCCTGTATTGTTCTTCGCTAACAAGATGGATCTACGGGATGCCGTGTCTTCTGTCAAGGTGTCCCAGATGTTGTCTTTGGAGAACATCAAAGACAAACCCTGGCACATCTGGTAAAATATCTGTTCTTTTCTTAACAGGCTCGCGCACTTAGTTCATTGTCTGTTCTGACTCACACAGTGAACGTAGAGCACACTAACACTGGTCTGAGGTAATGTTGGATTAAATATGCTACACTTAGCCAGGCTTTGTTCCTTCTCCATCCACAACATTTTGTGCTTCTGGAGTTAAGCTCAGCAGTCTGAAAGTCTGAAACGGAGACATTAAAAGTGACCATATTTACTCACTCCAATATCTGCTTGTTTGTCCTTTTCCACCGGATCGGGTTAACCATTACCAGCAGGCGCAGCAACATGCAGTTATTTAAAAGCCTGGTTAGTTTATATACACGTGTTTACCTGTTTACTCATTAGACAGATGGAAGGCCGGTGGATTAAGAGCAGGACAGCTTTAAACAGCCGGGATCCAAGAGAAGTCATAAGAAAGTGAACACGTGCCAGGAGGAGATTAACTTCTCGACATCTCCGTGTGTTTCTTTTAGTGCGAGCAATGCTATCAAAGGAGAGGGCCTGCAGGAAGGGCTGGACTGGCTACAAGGTAAAGTCTCTTCAGTAACTTATAATTAAAGCACCTAACTGGGCCACAGGAAATAAAAGGCTGTGTGGAATTGGCTGAGATTGAAATGTCAATGTGTCAAGTGCTGTCTGCATTAAGACGTGTCTTCTTTCACACCCATAGAACAAATTTCACAGTAAGTACCATCGTGTAAAGTCACTGTGGTGGTAGATTGTATCTCAGTATTTCTCTGCATGGGATTTAATTCAAAGGACTATTACCCAAACAATAAGTGTTTGTGACCAAAAAACAAGTTTAATATTGGAATGAGCCAACGAGAGAAATAAATCCCATCCTAATGTGCATGTATATGTACTTTATCTGTGCTGTAGCTTTAGAGTTATTTGTGAGCTCCACTTTGAGCACTTTCCACGTTTACATTTCAAATTCCGTCACATTTGTATAATTTTTTCTCCTGCCAGATCATATCAAAACAATGAACAAGTGAACGATTGAAATGCCTGTGAGCGTTGGCGCGATGTGGACGTGGTACCCGGATCAAACTCACCACACTTGATGTTGTAGGCCTTAAACGTCCACGTCAAGTAGTCTAGTGCTTCCTGTGCATGTTGTTTTTAAACAACAAAATCCTTCTAATATTGTAATTGGTGTATGACTACTCTGTAATATATATAAATATGTAATATTTAAAGTGCCCAATCATCGTTAGTTACATATGTTAAAAATCATTATTGATCCTTAATGTTGCTTCTGGATAAAGCAACATTCCAACATTTGTATTTTCATTCCGTGATCTACTGAACTTTTTTTAATGCTGTCAGTGCTGAATGTTGTGCTAGTGGAGGGCAATAAAAGCTGGTTTTATAAGCTGAGTTTGTGCTACATTTATTTTTTTAAAGAAAATCCTAATAAACTCAAAACAAATTGTAATTGAAAATACCAATTTAATAACTTATACAAAACCAATTATTATATCACAACTATATGTACAACAAGGTTCAATGTGAATAAATAATAAATATCAATAAATATTTAGAAATATAAAATGTGTATAAATAACCCAATTGTTTACAGAATACAGTTAACTAATCAAATTCATCCTCGGATCCCTCCAAACTTTGAATACCACGGCAACCCCCATGTTCAAGTCTTACAGAACTGTAAAAGCCCCTCACTTTCTCTTTTGTTCACATCTGCAGTTAACCCCTTCATTATTGACGCTGGTTTCTCCCCCGACTCTTCCTCTCTGTGTCCCTCTGTCCTATTTGAGGAACATGTGGAGGAATTTAGTGTGGAAGCGAGCGCTGGAGTCCAGGAGGAAGCACAATGTCTGGAAAGTCTCCCCGTCCTCAAGAGGGTTCCCTGAAAACACACAATGATGATTAATCACTGTTTATATTGATTTTAATGTGAACCAGAGTCACTCTGATCTTGAGCAAATAGACCCATTCAAAACACAATGAGGAAGTTCTCTGGTGCTGAAACTGTCCTCACAGGCGCTTGAAACAGGTGTATGGTATGTTCTTAATGTGTTCACATTAAGAGTTCAATTATGTAATGGGCACAATACTCCAGCATAAAATTGGTGGAAAAGAACAAAGTACACGCAAAATGCAAAAAGTATTTTTGATTGAAAGAGGAAAAATAAGGAGTTCCCAGTAAATTCCTACCGCCTCAGCGGTCACACACATGCACAGCCACCCATCAACACACAGCATTTCTTCAAGAAACATTTAGGTTTTTTCAAAATGTGCTTTAACTAACACACAAAAAGTTTTAAAATGTTAATTTGCATCGCAGGAAGCTGCTCCACCTCACCTGTCACTGACAACTCAAAGACCTCCCTGGTGACCTCTGAAAACATGCTCTCCAGTTGCTGGATGAAGCAGAACCTTTCCGGAGCCGTGCTGAAGACCTTACAGATCTGCTGCACCATTTTCACCGCCCACGTCATGTGATAGCCGTCCTTCTCACACACCTGAGGACGTGGTGGTGCGAAACAGAAGGTTGAACCGACATGCCTTTTCACAGCACAAATTATGTGGAAGCAGATAATCGTAACAGGATAACTAAGTACATTCAGCACAATGGACAGCACAAGTGACCGTAATACCCCACAGACGACGGAGAGGTACTTGAGGACTGTTTTATTTTGTCTTGACTGTGTCTCTGCCCTTGTGCATGCTGGGTCAGGCTGTCGCCCCATGACGATACAGTGGAAAAAGCAGACAATGCACCCTTGTCCCTGAATCTATGTGTAATGTGATATTAATCAACCGCACAATTACGTCGTAGTTCAACTGCATCATATCAGAGATAGCTTGGAATGCTGGACTAAACTCGATTCTAAGTTTAAAGACTTTACCGCAGGCAACCAAAAGCCAATTTCCTCGACCTAATAAGAAAACAACCAGTATTCTCACCAGTATGATGTACACGATCAGTCTGGAGACTTCGAGAAGTCGCCCGTTGACGGCCTTGCTGGCTAGGACGGTGTAGCAGAGACTGCTGCCGCACAGCACCAGCAGACGAGCCACGTTCTCCACATGCCACGGCCGAGGAATGACTGCAGACGAGGAGGAGGAGAATCTCTCATCACATGGGTCGGTCGGTGACACTGTCTTTTTTTCTGTCATGAAAGATTATGAGCATACCGATGAGCTCCTCTAAGATTGCCAGCAGGGAATTGGCGCTATTGCCTTTGACTTCTAGTTTGCCGAACAGCAGGAGGACGGCCCTGGCCATGTCCCACAGAGAGCTGTGAGGCAGCCCCCTCTCCACCAGATCCTGCCAGCCGAAGGTTTCTGCGTGGAGGAGATCACCGTAACCACCGTGTCCTGCTACACCACATAAGTATGGGAGGAGAAAACGGGCAACAAGCCAGGATTCCGGTCTGATCCCGTTTTCAGAGTGACAGTGAAGCCATACAAACGCGCACCACGGTTACCCTCAGGCATCAGAGGTCCATAGAGGACGAACAGCAAGTTGGCCTGGCTGACCATGGGCCAAGGCTTCAGCAGCTGCATCAGCCAGAAATGACAATCTGGCTGGTTCAGCCATGGGTCCAACAGAACATGGCGGCAGAATAGACGGAGCTGCAGCTTTTGGTACCACCTGACACCTGAAGGAAGACCAAGGAATAAAGAAACGTGTTTTAGGGTCATGTCATGTAAGACTTTCACGAGGCTCAAGGGGAAAAGGCCCAGAGTCAGTTCAAAAGTTACTCCCCCTTCAAACTTTTACGACACACACTGCAACGACACCAGTTTTCACCTGGATTGAAAGAGCTAATGATCACATGAAACAATTCACACAGTAATAGTAGTAGAAAAAACACATACCAGGTTTTCCAGTGACAACTGCCTCGGTTTTTTGCAGCAGGTTTGTGAGGTCACTAAGGAAGTTGAACACTCTGTGGCACTCCAGCTCGTCCCAACCTGCGATCAGTGTCTGTCAAGTATTCAACAAACGACACCTTCAAATTTTCAGTGCCGGAAAAAAGAGTAACGTGATCCGGCCAAATTATTTTCAGGCACTTGGGACGCGATACAAAAGTGAAACTTTATAAGAAGGTTGCGATTTTTCCCACATACATAATATTCCGTGTTGGGTTTATTCTCCCATAGCTGTTTGTGTTTCAGCATCCGAACTAATAACAAGCCAGCTTCAGTTTATTACAACTGTTTTATAACTGTTAATCTTTATATGAGGCCTCCACCTGGAGGAAGACTCCGTAGCTGGAGAAGCCAATGCAGTCGGGTGTGAAACAGTGCTCCAACAGGAAGCAGGGAATCTGAAACAGATCAGTGGGACACTTTTATTCATTCGGCCTTATTATTATCCCTGGTTATGATCAATAGATATCAAAATAATAAAATGTATGGTTTGAGCTACAACATTGCAATTTAGGCATGGGCAGCATTCTAAAGGCAGTGAGGCCAATTAAACTATGGAATCTCACTGGCTGGTCCTTTCCTATTCTTACCTGTGAAAACTGGCTAAAGATAAACTTTAACCTGTCCTTCGTTGGTAGCAACAAGGTGCATCTCTTGAACAACACACCTGGAAATTAAACACAAAGCATATTATCAAATTAAATATAGACCTTGATCTTTCCTCTTCCTTAACACGACCGTCAAGTACGATCAACTGGTCGTCAATAATACATTTGTACACCACGTACAGCCTGGAGAGGAGCTATACAAAATACATCTTCAGCTAAATATGCACAGCCACATACCCAGGTCTCTGTAGTGTTCAATAGTGGACTTCTGTTGAAGGCACGTGGAGCGATGAAAGCTTTGAATGATTGTTTTATTCTTCCAGGCCAGGCTTGAGATGTAGTCCAAAATGAATTGATTGATTTCCTTGGACACCATGCTGAACACACTGCTCTCCAGCACTAATGAAACATAATATTTAACATTTATTTTTAGTTTTTTGTATCTATTACAATGTGTGTCTGCTTTGTACTGTATTATGGATCCCTCTGGGTCTGAAATAAATACATTATATACTTCAAAAAATATATATATATATATACATAGAAAAAAATATATATAGAAAACATGTCAAAATCAGGCCTAAGAGTACAGGCAGAATTGAATAGATTAATCTTTGGCACAGACATTAGTGATGACAAGCAGAGCAAAGCCCCAGAGCAGAATATGTGGTAGTTTCATTCATTTCAGATACAAAAACGGGACTGAATTCAGCAAATGACATGATACGCGGTCTGAATGAACTCTGACACGTCGTTACAGTGATGTTACGGGTCCACCTACCGGACAGGTTGTCCAGGATCATGTAGAACACCTCTGACGGGAGCCGGTGGAAGAAGCTGCCGCTCGGCAGACCCGCCCGCTGGCTGCGGGTCACCATGGTCCGGGTCACCGTGGTCCGGGTCGGACGCGGCCGACGTCGGGTCCTCTTGTGGGACTGGTGTGTCAGCGTGTACTTCCCAACATTTCTGGAGGATCTCCTCACCATGACGTGCACCGCAGGGTAGACTGCGTTAGACAAGACAAGGCACGGTGGACTCGGAAGTTAAAATGAAAATCTCAAGCTAACCTCGCGTTAGCTAAAAAGACATCTCAATGCTAATGCTAATTCTGTATAGCTAGTTAGCACATGAATATAATATAGCAGTTCCATTAACATTTAATGTGACGTGGACGTTTAATAAAAAGGGACTAAAAGTCAAATTTGATATATCCTTACCAGTACTATTCCTTCTGTGGACGTCGACAGCAAACGTCACCTGCGATGGCGAGTCACCTGCGTGCTAGCTAGCTAGCTAGCGCCGCTGAGGAATGAGGACGTTTCTCCCGCGTTCGGCCTTTAAATTTAGTCTCCACGAGTAACGTTTACGAAAGAAAGGCCTCGAGCACTGCGTTCACCGAGAAGCTCCTCGCGTGTAAATTAGTGATAACGTGGATCTAGGTGGCACAAATGTCAACCTCTTAACATAGATTAGTAACTTATCGTTGTGTGCAGTCATATTTAAGAAGCTGTGCTTGTTTCCTCAATACACTGCCTTTTATTAGCAGAATTATTTTGTGCAAGTTAAATCAAGTTGATTAAAGTATATATATTTTTTTTCTTTACTCCATAGCCAATTATCCTACAAGCCTTATACTGCATCCATGCAGGTTTCATCAATTGATGATATTTGGGCTGAATAATTATGAATTTCTCTCACTGGGATGGGAAAAACTAGTCTGTGGTCATCTGCTATAATGACCAACACCTTTGTGGCAGGGCATTTAAAGTCATGCTACCATCTTTTAAGAATGTTGGCTACATCGACCCACGTACAAAAGGTGTGTGCAGTATGAAAAATAGTCTGTCTTTTCAGGCTTATGAAGACGTGAACACACAAAAAAAGACAAAGTCCCGTATTACACACTGTTATAGTTGTGTGTTATACCCTCCAGCGCTGTGCACAACAGACCGGCTATGCTCAGCTGCTAATCACGGGATTATTCTGCTTAACTAAGACTATTAAGTGTTCCACATTCAAATGGCGTCTCCCACAGGCAGACCTTGGAGAGGATCATCCCTTCTCTGCAGAGCTCTCACAGAGAGCTGAATAGGAGGTGAGGGTACCAGGGGAGGAGCACGGAGTGGGTGGGGGTGTGTGGGGGGGGGAGAGAAGAGCTGCAAAGCAAGAAGATGGACCTCGGAGGCACCCAGAGATAACTGTGCTGCTTCGGCTTGCAGATCAGTATGTACCACGCACGCAATCCACAACGCTCTGCGATCCACCTTGCAAGTGTTGCTTTTAATGCTTTAATGATTGAAGCCTAATTGTAGTTGATGTGTATTCATGTTGCTTAAAAGTGAATGCACCGATTAAGTCATTGCACTTTTTTAGAAAATTCTTCCTGTTATCTGTTCAACAGATGTGGAGCTGCATAGAGCTCAATACTTATTGAGGCAAAAACAGCACAACCAGTGTGGACAATATCTCTTCTGTCTCTTCTCTGCTTGGAAACAGCGCTCTGCCCCCCGGGTCCGAGCGTTTATCTGAGCAACAAGCCATCGCCGGGACTGTCTCATGCCATCTTCTAACGCGATGCTCCTGATGCTGACGGCGATAAAGACGACGATGATATCCAACGCTGACCAGTGACAACCCTGCAGCACAGCCACAAATATCCCTTGACTTGTGAGGCAGCAGTGGAGACAGAAAGGAGCTGGTCGGTGTGTAAATCTGTGCCGATGGCCTATTTCTTTGGAGGTGCACCATCTAGACACCTGTAACCATGGAGCTGTAGTCCTTTTGGTGACCTTGTTGGTGAGTATCCAAAGGTGCAGTGCTTTTAGTCAACGGTGAAATGTGGAAAGGTATATGAATATCCCTTTTGTTTTGCTCTCGGGTGGGAAGGATTTGCGGGTAAAACAAACATAAACTGGTTTCCACAGCCTTGTCTTTGTTGCTATTGTTCATCAGTTGTGTCTTCAGTGTAGTCAATCATTAAGTGAACACAAGGAGGCTTGTATCTATAGTTTAAAGAGGCCCCGACAGTGCCTGGTCTGACAGTGAACAACAATCAGCCTTTGTTTTCTGAGGAAGTTAAACAATGTATGAGCGCGGTTTACTTTTCTCTGTTTGGACATTTAAATTTGTTGTGTTTCATTCTTGCGAGGGAAACAGCACATTTTGTATTGAAGTGGGAATTGCTCCTCAGGTCATTTTATTACATTTTCATTTGCATAGTCATTGTTTAAACATCTTCCACTCATTACTCAGCTTTTTTTCTTCGCTGCTGAAAAGAATGGTTGAAGGAACAGTAAATGCTTAACTACTAATCCGTTTCCTACCCGTAGTTGAAGTTGTGCAATTTGTGTTATCATGTGTGAATTTATGAATGTAGTACCGGGTCAAGAGATGAAATTGGATATAATAGGAGTTGATCACTTATGACCAATCACTACCACCCCTTTATTGTCACAGTTTGGGCCTCAAAGCCCTGTCAATCCAGACACTAAATACCCTCCAGAGCTGTGAAAAATGCCCAAAGTTAGTGGTTTATAAGAGTCCTCTCAGCTTGGGTGGTTCCTGTAAATGTTTAATTTCCTCCCCTCTCTCTCTCTTCCTCTCGGAGGGGTGGCGGGGAGCTTAACAAATAAACGGCTGTGGTTTGCCCTCCGGAGGAGAGCGTTGAACGGGTGAAGCTGAACAGCGCTCTCATTAGTTACAGATGCAGTCACCTGCCACTCACCAGAGACCGATGCCAGGGACTTTCCACAGCTATTTCTGCCCGCACCTCGGAGAAACTTGAGGAATGGCTCAGACTCTGTGACTGGATGTAAGCTCTGTGGGATTCACTTTACAGCTGGGCACCATGCAGATAACGGGAGGAGCGCTCCCTCCGCTTCCGTCGAGTTTTTTTACGTGGCGAGATGTTGTTTTTCTGCTTGATGATTTTCCCCTTTCGCTCATGTTATCTGTGGATCCAATCGGTATTTACGGGCCTCATCGGCGGCATTTAGAGACATTCGATTGCTCTCATTAAATGTCTCCCACGTGCTCGTCGCCTGTGACTTAAAAGTGTGACTTTGTGCTTTGCAGTTTGAACATCTGTCCCCGTGAGCCCATCATGGCCAGCACGGCGGTTCAACTCCTCGGCTTCTTCTTGGGCCTGTTGGGGTTCATAGGTACCGTGGTTGCAACCCTGCTCCCCTACTGGCGCAGCACAGCCTACGTGGGCTCCAACATCATCACAACCACCGCCTACATGAAAGGCCTGTGGATGGAGTGTGTGTGGCACAGCACCGGCATTTACCAATGTGAGGTGTACAGATCTCTACTGGCGCTGCCGCGCGACCTGCAGGTACGACGCGGTCCCCAAAGGAAAGGCTTTTCTGCCAAAGCTCCATGAAAACAGTGATAATCCGAAAAAGGTTTTCGAGCAAAAATGCTCAACATTGCTCAAATCATTTTAACTATTAGTCAGAGAAAGATATTCAGCAGATAATTGGGTAATGAGCATAATTATCTGGTTCATCTTTTAGTTAGTTGCTGCCCCAATAATTACTGATCTACAGCTGGGTGGATTGGTACCAACCCTACCGGCTAACATCCGAATCACTTTGACTCCCCGTGTTGAAGACGCTCGTCTTTCCTCTCCCCCCTGCAGGCTGCCCGGGCGCTCATGGTGCTCTCCTGCGTGACCTCGGTCCTGGCGTCGCTGGTGTCTGTGATGGGGATGAAGTGTACCCGCTGCGCCCGTGACCCCTTGGTCAAGTCGTCGCTGGTGCTCAGCGGTGGGATCGGATTCCTCTGTGCCGGCGTGCTCTGCCTGGTCACCGTGTCCTGGACCACCAACGATGTCATCTTGGATTTCTACGACCCCTTCCTTCCCAGCGGGATGAAGTACGAGATCGGCCTGGCCGTGTACCTCGGCTACGCCTCGGCCTGCGTCAGTCTGGGCGGAGGGATGGCGCTGTGCTGGAGCAGCAGCAGCAGCAGCAGTAGCAGCAGGTCAAGGAGGCGCCGCCACGTGCAGAGGAATCAACCGCTATCACCCCCCCCTGCCTTCAGCCACATATACCCTCCCGCCCCGCCGTACAAGCCCCCCGAGGCCCTGAAGGACAACCGCGCTCCCTCGCTCTGCTCTCTGTCCAGCAACGGCTACAGGCTCAACAACTACGTCTAAGACCACCAGCCGCAAAACCTCTGGGACTGCAGCGAGTGAGAAAAGACACTAAAGGGACCTTTAACGAGTCTTTCTAGGCTGAGCTTATGAGCCTAAACTAACTTACCGTGTGTGGAGAAACACATTTAAGGCTAAGAAGCTATTGTTCTGTCACTTCCTTTAGTAGCTTCCTTTCCAGTAGCGATTTACTTTTTCTAATATTAAGTTCAAATATAATTGTTCTTTTGAAACTAGACGGATGAGGTTTTATGTCAGTATTCAATATTTTCTAGCCTAAAACAATTGCAAGTTCTGATCTAACAATAGAGGAGTACTCAATAAGATACTCTTTGTGTTGTTTTCCATAAGCTGCTACGGTAGATATTCTGTCAACTGTAATGGATTACCTGATGGACCTGGGTTAACGGCATAAGACTCAGGAAACCCTGCTGAGGTTATGAGCACAACAACAACAACAACTTTTCAGGTCCGGGAACATTTGGATTGTAAAGCTGAGGAGAGACACTGGGTGGCGACAAAGGTCTTTTGAGAAGGCAGCCTGAAGCCTTCAGTTAGAACTTCTCTGTTTTCATTCAGTTCTTTTCATACAATGCTGTGCTAATGTCTAGATATCAGCACTTTTTATGAATGGATCTAACTGCGTAATTAAGTCAAAAATGGGAAGAATCATTTTGTGTCACTCGCGGTGTATGAATGTGACTCTGGGGCTTTCTAGGATGCTCGCTTACCTGTAACACGATGGACGTGTTTGTTAAGAAAGCCTCCAATTAGAGCTGCTCTGTGTCAGACAACCACACAGACGCTCAATTAAAGGACCTGTCACAATTCCAGCAAGTCACTTCTTTTATTGCCAAGCGTCGACATATTTACATTGCTGTTGAAGACCAAACTTTTAATACATGTTTTGTTTGAGAGAGCAATGGTTGCAACAATTGCCCGTGAAAAACGAACGTATGAACACACTAAGGGATGACTCGAAATGTGCAATGAAGAAATATCACATCAGAACCCACAAAAACCACGAGATGGCATTGAGATAACTTTATAATGAAGTTACACAGTCATTTTCCATTATTTTAATCATCAGCATATAATAAAAAAGGGGTTATTAGTCTCTTAAAACCAAATGATTATGCTGATGCATTCAAGTCCGTATTTGGAGACATATACGACTTCAAGACAATGTTTTAATATTGATGTAAAGATACAAAGGCTTGCATATGTTCTTGCACGAAAGACGCGTGCGTGCGTAAAGTGGTTTATAGAAATGTACATCCTCAACAATACCATCTTACATGCGTCTGGAGAAGGTACGGGACGCAAGAATCGCGCTCCGGGGTCGTAAATCAGGCCTGAAATCTAACATGTCAGAGCAAAGGTTTCCTCTATTTCCAATATGATGTAATAAATGATATAGGAAAGCTTTCCCGAACAGGTTGTGCGTCATGCCACTCTCTATTAGGAGCTATTTTCGTCCATGCCTGGAAGACATTCATCCACCATCTACTCACCCTGACAGCACCCAATAAACCCACCACTCCCATTCATCTCCACCCTCTCTCCTCGCCCCTCGCTCTCCCCCTCTCTCTCCCCCCCTCTCTCTCTCCTTTCTGTCGAGCACTGGAGACTCAAAAAACAACATAGGAGACTTGAGTTTGTTCGGTCAAGAGGATTATTCAACCTTAACCGTTCTCGACTTAAACACTTGAGTATTTGGATAACCTGCTACCGTGAAAGGTAATTATGTCAGTTTCTAGCATTCTCTTTATAAAGTGCCGGCTAATTGCATTTGGCCATCGTGACAGACGAGAGATCAATAATGCAATTTCGGGCCATTGGAACCGTGGCGTCAGGAGCGCAAAGGTTTGAGTGTAGTGATGCATCGGACAGAAACCCCGCGTGCTTCTGTTTCGGGTCTCCTCTCGTAGTTTTTGACGGTGCGTCACGTTTGGGAACCATCATTGGACTTTTACGCACGAAACCAAATCTGGTGGGTCCATTTTATAAATCAACACAGAGCTGCCTGAACACTTATTAAGAATATACATTTACATTTCAAAATATATCGCGTGAGTAAACTTGCTGAATAATCAGCAGAAAAAAGCAGAAAGGCGCGCGTAAAACATCATCAAGTGCCTTAAAAGCTTAACAAGTGTGACACTGATTTGTTGTTTGGGGATTTGTATGATACGTGATGCAGTGGCTCTTGTTCCAGGTAAGGTACACTCGCGTCCAATGACATTTTATGGTCGCAGTTTTGAATAAATATGAAAGTTAAGATAAACGAGTAATTATGTTTGTCAGCACCTGCTGGTCGTTCAAAATGTATTAGTTTGGCTGAAGGATTTGGATATAAAGACTGAGAGGATTGGGCAAACATTTGAAACGAATATTGAGAGCTTCGTAACGCGGATAAATTATTATTCTGATGTTCTTTTGTTCCATTGTTATTTGCAGACAAATTGGAATGTATACATATTTCTCCATTTTGTATCCCGTCTGTCAGGTTCAAATGAGAAGAACTGCTTTTGTTAAGATCTAAAATGATGATGTGCGTGTATTTTACTTAGTTGATCCAGGGATTTTATAATTGACATAGTTGGGCAATTTACATTGAGCGTGTAGTTGACCGATACCTGGAAAATATGAATTCATATTTAAATATATAATCTGGATGTTTTACATGACGTGTGTGGACAGAAACCTTGGTGATCAAGTTAATAATTCTTCATATGAGTTTAGTCCTCTCCACGTAAGCACTTTAACTGTCTTCTGTCAGCCTGTGCTGTTAACCCAAAAATGTGGGTGGCAAAGGCGTCAGGATTCTGTGAAATAACATTTATGAGACGAGCACCTGAGAAATCTGCGTCTTGCTCTGTCTTTCTTTCTTTAAAGTTATTTCCATGAGATTGCGGTCACCCGGGCGCAATAGTTCCTGATCTCGGAGGGAGGAAGCGGAGAAGGAAAAGATGGCCATCCACGTCGAAGGCATCGTGGCAATCGTGATCTTCTACCTCCTGATTCTCGGTGTGGGGATCTGGGCCGCGTGGAAGAACAAGAACTCCGGTGTTGGCGACGGCGCGGACCAGAGCGAGCGCATCATGGTCGGAGGAAGGGACATCGGATTGTTCGTTGGCGGATTCACAATGACCGGTGAGCCGGATAACTACTCTTTCTTTTGGTTATAGGGGGTCAAATTAAATTTAGCTGAATTAAATTAAATATAATGTTTACTGCACGGACATACATTTATGATTTATTTGCTTTTGGAGCAGAGCTGTTGTGCAGCAGGGGCCAATGAGCCAAACAAATGGCTGAACAAGAGCCTCGGGAGTCCAAAAGATGCGTAGTCTGCTCAGCAGTCTGCTCTGTCCCTTTTTGCAAAGTGCATAAGGGTGACGAGACCAGTCCGGTTTAGGACTCAATATGAGATGTCACAATCTCAATCTTCATTCACCCGGAAGTCCACCGCCGGCTCTTTGGTTTTACCACAGTGGCTGGCACCAATTCATCACTGGTAGGCGAAATATAGAAGGTACAAAGAACCAGCCTCTCCAGGGACTTTATCTGGTCAAATGTTGGAGCCTGAAGCTGTGGAGGTCCTTGAGCCGTGCGAGGTCTTTGGTACCACACAGGACACAAAGCTGGTGTCTGCAGGATCTGAGGAGTGCTGAGCTGAAGCCGTCTGGTTTCAAAGTGATAATCCCATCCACAATAGATAGCAATGATCTGTGGGGTTTGTTTCATTAAGGTGACTTATGCATCACGACATGTACCAAAGAAATGTTTTGAACTTTTCTTTTTCTTGTTTTCAGCCACCTGGGTTGGTGGGGGCTACATTAATGGGACAGCAGAGTATGTCTACCTGCCAAATTACGGCCTTGCTTGGGCACAGGCACCCTTTGGATATGCTCTCAGCCTGGTAGTAGGTAAGACAGACTTTGTTTATCTCTCTAGTGATCAACAAGTCTGCTCTTAAAGTGCACATATAATTAAGGGTCAGTAAAATGCACTTCAGTTGTCTCTTCCCCTATTTGCTGGCTGTTGGGAATCCTTCAGGTGGACTTTTCTTTGCGAAGCCCATGCGTTCCCGTGGATACGTCACCATGCTGGATCCCTTCCAGCAGCTGTACGGAAAGAGGATGGGAGGCCTGCTCTTCATCCCTGCACTCATGGGGGAAATCTTCTGGTCCGCAGCCATTTTATCCGCCCTGGGTGGGTGATCACTGCGCAGGGACACTAAAATAACAACACCTCCATGTTAACGAATGCGCTTACATGACTAAACGCAAATGTATGTTCCTGCAGGTGCAACTCTGAGTGTGATTGTGGACATAAACATCAATATTTCGGTGGTGATCTCAGCCCTGATAGCCATCTTTTACACACTTGTTGGAGGACTCTACTCTGTGGCGTACACAGACGTGGTCCAGCTCTTCTGTATCTTTGTGGGCTTGGTGAGTTTCACAGTCAAAGCTCTATCCTCGGAAAAGACGTCTGTATGATTAAACATGGTTTTTGCCCACGTAGACCGAAAGCCAAAAGCATTGCTGCATTTTTCTACTTAATTATTTTTGACGTGTTTGTGATCTGCAGTCATCATATCCTCATATCAGATACGTGACATTAGCAGGCCCACACTTACCAACATCTGAAGACACTGGTTACTGTGTATCTAGTATTGAAATCAGACTCTGTGGAACATTAATTAGAAGTTTAATTCTAGGGCAGAGAACCTGTTGAAATGTAAAAAAATATCTTAACGTTTCCATAGCTTCAATACTTTTTTGCATAAATCTACCCCTTTCTCCATCAGTGGATCAGCGTGCCTTTTGCCCTGTCCAATCCCGCCGTGTCAGATATCAGCGTTACAGCCAAGGAGGAAATCTACCAGTCGCCCTGGCTGGGCAAGATCGATCCTAAAGACGCATGGCTCTGGGCAGACAACTTCTTTTTGCTGGTGAGCGCTTTTTTATTTGATGATGCATTAAGAAGGATTAGCCTTGTATTGTTTAAGATACAGGAGTGTAATGTAGAGCAATGAAAAGCCCCGGTGCAGAACATTTCACATTTCATGTAACAGTTTATGCCGCCGACATCAAGTGTCAGAGCTGCGGAGGAATAAGTGACTGTTATGCATCAGTTTGGTGTCGGTATTTACTGTGGTGTTTCTGTTTCTAGATGTTGGGGGGGATTCCCTGGCAGGTCTATTTTCAACGGGTTCTTTCTGCCTCTTCAGCTACCTACGCTCAGGTCCTTTCCTTCATCGCTGCCTTCGGCTGCCTGGTCATGGCCGTCCCCTCTGTCCTCATAGGTGCTATAGGGGCCTCCACCGGTAAACACACACACACACACACACCAGACGTTTGCAACTTAAAGCTAACAGAAACATAGTAGACATGAATGCACACACACACACACACACACACACACACACACACATTGATTAAGCAGTTAATGAAAAATCACAAGACAATTAAAACATTCAGGAATGTGATCCTTTATTCAAACAGGAAACTGCGATCAAAGGAAAATGATGTCTTTCCTGGGTTGTTTGTGCCCCAGCAGCTCTATTTTGAGATGCACGAATGCAGATGCATAGAGTATCTGGAGGGTAAACAACATCAGATGGATCCTGTCATGACGGGCAGAGGAGAGAGTCATCAGACCATGCCGATTAAGTGAATATTACATCTGAAGAGGAGCTAATTAATCTGGTCCTTCCGAAGTTGTTTCATGTGTAACCAGCGTTACACACACTGCTGGAAGGAGAGAAAGACATCATCATGTACCTCTGGGGGATAAAGAGAAGGACGAAAACGTGGCAAAAAGGCATTAATATGAAGAAATGTTATCATGCTCACCTGCTAAAGTATGACGGTGAACACGATATACAGCAAAAATGAGATCTTTGCAAACTTTTACTAACCAGCTCGAAATAAATGGCTTCACACACATAAAACATTATCAATGAAAGGGTTATCAATAACATTTGCAATTCAAATACAACCGACCAATGTATTCTACAGTAATAGCTTGTGTTTGATATCAGGACCAATGATCCATTACGTCAAAAACTTTGGTTGGTTGTCATACTATTAATACGTATCTATTATTTCTGGCATCCCTCTTATTACTCTTGCTTTTTTCCTGTTACATGACAAGCAGTGCAGCATCACCTTGATAATCCCTTCTGTATGTGAAGCCCTCTGGTTTCACAGCAACTAAAATCCACAGGGAACACTAGAATAAAGTCTCAAAGTAAAGCCCTTTGTCTAGAAAGCTAAGGGATCAGTTCAAAAATTGGAATAAAGCAATTAGTCTCAGTCTAAAATGTAACAAATTGACCAAGAGCATAATTGTGTGAACCTTAACATATAGGAGCATGGGCCAGGTACAGCTAGCTCCACTTTAGTGATGCTTATTCACCCTGCATTATTTTTGTGTTCAGTTTAATAATTCAGCCAAATATGTTTGTTTTTATATTCATATACAGACAACCTAATATTCAGAGAATGTTACACAAATATACCTTTGTATTTCTAACTACATTTGCATCTTTTGCCATGTATCCTTCCAGACTGGAACCAGACTTCTTATGGGTATCTCGCTCCAAAGGATAAGGATCAGTCAGACATGATCCTCCCCATAGTGCTTCAGCACCTCTGCCCGTCCTACGTCTCCTTCTTTGGCCTGGGCGCCGTGTCGGCCGCTGTCATGTCGTCGGCGGACTCCTCCATTCTCTCAGCCAGCTCCATGTTTGCCAGGAACATTTATCAGCTCGCCTTTCGGCAGTCGGTAAGCGTGGCAGTGACGATAAACGGCAGTAATAACACGCCTCTGCAGGGTTTGCAAACATCAGTCAGATAATCGATACATTTATTTTACTTCCATCCCTTCCAAATATGTCAGACGATGCAACATACACAACCAGACTCCAAAGCTCCAAAGAACTATTTCAAATTAGAACATGGAAATGATGAGTTGTATGTAAAGGTGTAAACTGACAAAGCACCACTGTGCCTAAATACGGCCTGACTGGCCTACCCGAGGTCCGCATTTGATCTCCTTCTCCTCACGCCGCCATCTCTTCCTTCTCTCCGCCAGGCTTCAGATAGAGAGATTGTTTGGGTGATGCGCTGCACCATCTTTGTATTCGGAGCGCTTGCCACTGCCATGGCGTTGCTGACAGAATCCGTGTACGGCCTGTGGTACCTGAGCTCCGACTTGGTCTACGTCATCATCTTCCCCCAGCTTCTCAGCGTGTTGTTCGTCAAGGGCACCAACACCTACGGCTCCGTGGCTGGCTACGTCTTTGGTCTTTTGTTGCGCATCGGTGGAGGGGAGCCCTACCTCAAACTCCCACCCTTCATCTACTACCCCGGTTGGGTGAACCAGGAGAGGATCCACCACGTCACTGGGGAGGTGGAGCACTTTGTCCAGCAGAGGTTCCCGTTCAAGTCCATGTCCATGCTGGCGTCGTTCTCGGCAAACGTGGCCTTTTCTTACCTGACAAAGTACCTGTTTGAAAGCGGCACCTTTTCGCACAAGTACGACTTCCTGGACGCCGTGGTGTCCAAGCACAGCAAGGAGATCATGGACAAAGCCACGCTGGTGAGCAACCAAGACAACATTATTCTTTCAGAGATGGCGCCGGTCAAGCAGGTGGTGGGCGCGTCAATTGCCGGGACGTTCATCAACGCCGAGGTCCTCAGCGACGACGGGGCGTCCAGTCCGGAGGCTTTTGTCGATGACAACTAGGCGACAAAGGCAGTACGGATGCTACAAACAAGGGATTTAAAGAAGAAGGAATAATCCAAGAGGCCTCCGGACTCTTCAGGAAACTTGCTACTGCCGCACTAAAAGCCAAATCAACAGAAATCTGCTTTGGCTTCCGAGTGACTCCACAAGTTTGTTTTATGCTGATTACACGAGGCCTCCTTCTTTTTTAACATCCCTTGCCTAGAACCAGGAAGGTGACAATTAGCCGTGTTGGGCATAACACACTCATTCTGTTTTTCTTTTTAAAGTTCAATCCAAAACCACTGCAACCGTTTTAATATAAGTGCTCAAAGTGATCGGAGGGACTTTCAGGGGGAAATAAAGAGTTACTGCTTTTGGACAACGACGTCCACAAGGGTTTGATGTGGGTAATGAGAACAGTGCAATATCTAACCAAGGAATTGTGTCCACGTCTAAATAGCAGCTTGTGTGTGTGTGTGTGTGTGTGTGTGTGTGTTGCTCCAAAAAAGATTGTGATTTTTAAGTTTGCATAGTCCAGAATTTATTAATAGCAATAATATTTGTAGGATTAATGTTAAATGGATAGATACATTGTACTGAATAAGCAAGATCCTGTCTTTATTGTTACCTCGACGATCAAAAGTATTTGTCATTTTATGTTTCATGTTCACCGTGCACTTAATTCTCCTGGAAACCTCACTAATTCCAGACAAAATGAGTGTTGATTTAAGAAGTACATGCCAACGTGGTTTCACCAAACTCACCAGACATGGTTGACGTTGGATGATTCTGCATTCACCCTCAGTTTGAACGTTCACTGTCAAGATGGTTGAAATTGATAAAATATCCCACGGTTGGAGCTACGAGGGGATTGAGGCCAAATCAAGGTCCACATTAGGAATGTAGGTCTTATATTCACTCCATTACGCTGATGTTTGCGTTTGCACACATACAATACAAACCTGGATTGTTTTTCCTCGCTACGTTTGGCTTCCATTTGTCTTGTATGTTTGTCTAATATTTGACTTTGTGAAACTCCCATTTGCGTTGCTCATCTGTGAATCAACGTGCATTTATAACTGCATTATTAATAACATTAATATCAAGTAAAGCACATATAAGGTTTTTAAAACGCGATGAATATATATGTATGTATCTATTTAATTAATGGAACCCAATGGCAGCCTGCACAAGAATTCAGAACTCTAAAAAACTAAGATTGAAAAATGATTGGAATTAACCAACAGTCTATTTCACTGATATATAAAACGGTCACTAAGACGCTGTTTTGAAACATTACACGCGTGTGTGTATGTGTGTGTGTCGGTGTGTGTGTGTGTGTGTGTGTGTGTGCCGGTGCCTACCATTTGCTCATCCTAAACCTGTATTGACTGGCCAGCCTCAGCGGGTTAGCGGAGACAGGAAGTTATTGTTCCTCCCGAGTTGGTGTCAGTGTGGCAGCGGTCTTTATCGATCCAATTCCCAGTCGATTATCCCTCAGGACATTTGATTAATACCTCTAAGAGGTTTGAAACTGCGGTTTATGAGGGTTTGTTTGACGGTGTGTCGTTTAAGAAGATGAAATTTGAAAGTCTGTTACTGATTGAGCACCATCATTCAAAAAGTCACTCACATTCTCCCACTTCTGGCTGTTTCAAAATACCCGGCGGACCGCTGCTCTGCAAAGACCTATTTTTGTGTTGCTGTCCAGTTGACTTCTCTATTTTTATCACCTTGTTTTAAGACCAAAACTAAATAGTGTCTGTCTCACTATTCTCTGACCACCTGACCCCATGTATGGCAGGCAACTGCAAGCCCGTTCATAACAGCGTAAGAAGACAGATCTTTTATAAATATGAATATAAAGTGTCTTTTTTTTTTAACTGTGTTAACTTTTCCTAACATAAAAGGGCACTGCAGAAGTACATGTTGCAAATGAAGCATCCTATTGGGTATTCAAAGGAGCAAGACATTGTGGAAGTGACCCAATGTCCTTTAAGGTGGCAAGACGGCCTTAGTCTTTGGAGAGAAGTGGACTTGATCCCTGCATTCAGCCATATCCCCTGAGGAAGCGACACCGAATCCCAGCCTGATCCCGTCTCATCTCTAAAACATAAATAACAGCTATGGGGTTCACGATCTGCAACCAAGACGACGTCAGCTTGAACCTGGTGTGAGCCTGTGAATGTGAACCCCTCCTCATCAGATAAGCTTCACAACGTGTGAAAGCACAGAGAAGAATCTACATCAGATGTTGAACTGGCACATTCATTTGTGTCTACATGTTGTATATTGCAATGATGCTGTATTTTTGTGTGATAAATGTACATACCAAAAAAGCATAGAAACAAATGAGTCTACTTTTAAATGCAGCATTAAAAATGATGTTTGTTGAAAGTGAACTTACAGCTATTTATTTATTCATTCAGTGTCTATAAGAGTACAGTTGTAAACAAATGTAAGGTCAGTTGAATAAATTATATTATTTAGCACATTTGCTTATTTTTCTCTATTTGCAATACAGCTTTTTACATTTGAACGCAATGTATAAGGCTGTCAACATATGAAAAGAATAACTAAAAGGAAGGCGTGTGCGTGTGTGTGTGTGTGTGTGTGTCTGGACTGTTTGGTGCAGGGTTTAATCTAAAGGTTGCCACCTGCTTAGGCGCATCAATCAGAAAACTCAACGCTGTCAATCATTCTTGCATACCCACAAACACACACACAAATCACAGCGTGACTACACACACAGTCTGACGGCCCCTCAGATGCAAGAAACATTCAAATTGTGGAGTTTCTCAAAGTAGAGGAGAATACATTATAGTTTGTGTAGTACCTTTTTAACCAAAACTGAAATAGTCACATATCACAAGGTTTAAACTAGAAAAAATAAGTTTAAACTGTAGATGTATTACGTAATACAATAATCCCTCACAAATGAACACATATGTGGGAAAGCACGGCTGTATTTAGAATTTCAAATATTTTAGAGAAAAAAATTATATTTTGAGAAACAATACATACAAAAAACATTAACAACCATAAACTTGGTTTATTAATTAATTATTAACTTGCATTACGCGATTTATACTTTTTATGTTTAACTAGTTTACTTTAATGTAATGTGAGGGCAAGATAAGAATGAAAGCAGTGCACCTCTTATCTCAGTACATTCGGTTCTGTTCACTTCTTCTCGCTGATAATCCAAAACGTTTTCTTACTGCTCATTCATGGAGTCACTGTCTTGTTCTGGTTGAGGAATGCGAGGTCACAAAGCGAAGCAGAAAGTGCCAACCCGGGAAACACGCAGTTTTGATGAGAATGAGAGCTACACACCACGCACTACACAACACTCACTTGTTTGTTATGTTTTCATTAATGTCAGGAGACCACACGCTGTATGTGATCTTGTGTTGTGGCGGGGGGACCTGCTCCTCCTCGACGCCAGTTTAGGGCCAATAGAAATGTTTTCTTCTATACAAAACGTGATGTTTTTCCTGATGTTATGTGGCCATTCTTCCGGCCTGCGGACCGACAGAACAGCTCGGTGCCTTTACAGACGCAGCGCTGAAACTTGACCTGTGATCTGACACATAAATCTATCAGAGAAGTTGTTGGGCTGAACTCTTGCAGATATCCCCAACCGGGCCTTTGATCACGCTTTCATCGCTCTCTGCCATCGTAGGATTTTCTGTATTTGACAAGTCACCAAGTGCTTCCATGTAGGCGCTTATTGTTGTGTCATCTATGAATCTGTGAAAGAGCTTGACGCTGTGTTTTTTTAACCGTCATTTGCTATTTATTCATTGTAGTTGGTTGAGTCATTACGGTGCCATTTAGAGCCACTTCTATCACAATCCCTAATGGGCTTTTCAGTCTCGCTCATTTTAATTGAGGCAGTCATTTTTCAATCTCTGGAGCTCTTCTGAAGCAGTTTATTCATAGATGAAACACTTCTCCCTGTCACTATGCTCCTCTGGTGTGCACCCTCCTCGCCTCCAGACCAACACCTAACAGCAAGCTATTATTCTGTAGTCTGCAAAAAGAAGGTGGAGGCAGCTGGGCACGTTTAACACATATACGTGTCAAAGTGGCAGATATCTCACCTGCAGGCGACAGACACGGAAAAAAGTTATTCATTAATGTAGATTATTAAAAAAGTCTCATGCAAGAAGGCGTCTGTTTAATTATCTTTACCTTCCCATACAAATTAAAATATACTGACTTGTTTTAACCATGACAGGTTCTTTTTCTAATAATCCTTCATTAAGTGCACCCGTGGCCGTTAGGTGAACTGCATCGGCCAAAACAGTGACGTCGCCCACACGAGTCTGATGCTGTTCGCGTATCATTGTTGTTACAATATGTTTTTATATGGACTCAGATCCATGAAGCGTCCTTCATGGATCTGAGTCCATAAACGTGTGAAATATTTTAAGAACGTCAGAAAATTCATCAAGAACAACCCACGGAATCTTGACGGAAAAATATTTATCTAAAACTACCAAACATCCACGGATTTTTGCATAAGATTTGCAGGACTTCTAAAAATGACATTTTTGGAATAAGGCCATATTGGAGAAATAAATAACTTTTACCCGCCAAGTAAAACCGTCAGATCCATAAATCCGTAAAACTGCATGTAAAACCTTATAATTTTTCTTTATTTTACCATTTAATACTTTAAAATGTACGGACGTTTAGGCCATGAGCCAGGAGCGATTATGTTCTTGGCTCTTTAAGTGCTCTGCAAAGCAAATTCTGAACAATTTAGATTCTTCCGGTGTGGAGCGTGTTTGATGTATTATTGGCCTTTTCATAATCCTCAGAAAAAAATAAAGATACCAACTCTAATGAGCCACGTTCGTCACTCATGTCTTATCCAATGTTATCCAGCGCTGGGCCCTCCCTGCAGGCTTCATCACTTTGTCCTCTCCGACGCTTCCTGTGTTTCAAACAACAGCAAATTCCCTGAACGTCATCAGACAAACACACACACACACACACAATCGGGCCTGCAGCACAGCTCATGACTTATTCTGTCTAAAATGACCAAGAAAAATCACCAAAGCAAGTGCACATGAAAAGGCAACTCATTGCACTCTTTGACACCCCTTATCTTTTATTTATCGATCACATATTATTCTCCATTTTAATTGCGTTGAGTTTTTAATAAGAGCCATGAGTTAGTGTGTCTAATAATAGATAATTTATGCCTTCAGGCGATTTAATCAAAAGTTCTTCCTGGCCATTATACTGATATCCACAAGTTTAAAAAAATAATGGTGTTACTTCAATGTTTCATTCTGCTGCAGAGAATCAGAGATTTAATAAAAAACTGGGAAAGTGGGAAAATATCCATTAAATCCATATTTCTCAATCAGGCTTTTTGAGCCAATTGAGGGAAGCCGCACACATTAAAAACTGACAGGCTAGTAAGAGCTGGTAAAAGCTATGAATGGCTGGGGGCCGAGAAGAAAGGAGCAGAAGAAAGGTGAATTCGTCTCACACAGAATGTGGAGTCCTAAATGCCGCACAAACACAACCTGGAAACGTGAGCAAAGGCAATTTACTAATAAGCCTTGGAACAAAAACAACACAGGGTAGCTCAAAGAGTGAGTGAGTGGGATGATGTCATTGGTAGCAATAAATCTGGGCTCATTTAGGTTTCTTTTTCTTAATAAGGCGAGTGTGATCGTCGTTATTCGCATTAGACTAAGTGCTCCACTACTCAGATCAGAAAGGGGTTGTGGGGGGGCAAAGGGAGGAAGTGTGTGTGTGGGGGGGGGGGCAAAAGGGATGAATTTGGATGGCAGACATTCACTATGAGCCTTCTGAAACTTTCAGAAACGATCCAGTAGCAATCTGAAAAACCTTTCGGGGCTGAAATACATATTGTTTATTGCCTATTTATTTTCATTTTTATCCATCTAGAGGAATAATTATTTTACCGCAAAACCCTGAGATATCTTGGCAATCCAAAAATCTATGAATTACTTTAATGGCCTTCCATTAGTTCTCTGTTATTGATTGACTGTCTGTGTGCAAGAGAATTGTACTTACGCCATCTGATCTATTTTGTTACCGATAACCTTTTACTTGGGGTTTCTGGTCCGACAACTTTAGGTCGCCAGGAGCTGGAGAGATGAACCATTGTTACACATGTCAACATTCTTTTATTTGATTGTATTACAGTGAGATGTTTCCAGATGGTTAGCGCACGAACAACATGCAATAGTCTCCTCTTGCAGAGATTAGCTAGCTGTGTAAGCCGGTTTCCACTCTTAAATAATCATATTCAAAGTTTACTTAGTGAAGTTATCCCCCGTTCTGAGACAGCTGGATCTGAGCTGTGCTCAGAGAGTCTTTGCATGAAGATCCTCTTGACAATATGCTATCACTCACGGTGCAGGGAGAGATTTTCTTTTGTTTTTCTTCATTCCTTTGTGTCATTAGCAGCCTGTCTTCAATCCCAAGTGGGTTTCATATTAGTCACAATAAATACACACAGAAGTATGGAACACACTCCTTCTGACAGTTAAATATTATCCCCTGTGGTCCAACCTGCCAGTATTAAAAACAATAATAATCACATTTTCAAAGTTTTCTCTCTCGACATTTCTTACACTTTGTAATTTGTAAAAAGATATATATGAACTGCATCCAATTAAATTATGTGAAAACATCGTTATTACACTAACTCCTTGTTGTCATGGCTGATCATGTCAAACGTGTAAAGCAGGTTTTCTTCCTGCAATGTAATGAAGTTATGCCATTGGTTTGTGATCTGGATGTACTCTGGACAATACCTAAAGGAACCGGCAGTGTCAGGTTGGAAAATCAGTAATTTGTAATCGAGTGAACTCCAGTCATCTTGCTGTACAAGATTATTCATTAAATTCGCTTTCCGTGTCACGTGTAAGGTTCATATATGTTTCTTGTCGATATTAAACATTGAGACACAAATACATAAAACTGTACAATATTAAGCTCTAACAATACAATACATTAATGGTACAATCAAACTGTTTTTTTTCTTCCACTGAACCTCAGGTGTTTTCATTTGCCAAATTAATTTTTCTCCCTCTTTACAATTGGCGTTTGTTTTTCCTGAATTGCAGCAAAAAAACAGGTCCTCAAACTGCTGATTTTGTTCCTGCTGCATGGAGACAGAGTTTTGACGGAAAGCAGCAGGTTCCATCATCCAACATGATTAACAGTGTTCTTGTGCAAATTTGACTGACTGCACCTATTGATTCAGTGCAGTGCAGCACTGCAAGGAGTGTGTGTGCCTGCATTTGCATTTGTATATTTCACAAATGAAAAATCCATCGTTAAACATAAATTATCTTCATTGATCATTATTTGGATTCTGCACCACTCTCATCCGGATTCCCTCCATTCTATCAATTATATGAATGTATTGGACTGCACCACCTTATTCGATCACTCGATAAAAGTTACCTTCCACATTCTGTTTCCGCCGCACCAC